GCCATCGTTCCTAATAGTGTCCCAGCTCAAATAGTGAATGCTAAGGTAAGGTGACCAGACGTCCCGCTTTTGGCGGGACAGTCCCAATTTTTAACAATTTGCCCCACGTCCCGTGGTGTTTTAAGAGTCCCAATTTATCTTTCCAAAAATCGGGACTTTTTTAAAACGCCGCGGGACGTGGGACAAATTGTTAAAAATCGGGCATGTCCCGCCAAAAGCTGGACGTCCGGTCACCTTATGCTAAGGTCACCCTGGGAACGGTGGGCGCAGACCTCATGCATGTACAATGACATACAACGGGGCACCAGCAAATCAATGTGACCGCACACATTCACGCACTGGCACTTTGTCCCAGCTACAGAGACACATAGCTGAGCCCTACAGACATCATATACCAACGCTGAGCTAGACTGAGCCAGTGTGCACAGTTAGAGGAAGTACCCAAAGGTTTGTCCATGTGGGGGCGCAGTAGGGGTGGGGGAGCTCTGCTTGACAGGGCTGGCAGCCAGCCTTTAAGCTGCCCTGCTAGCACAATGCCAAGCCCAGAACAAGTGCTCAATTTGCATATTCAATAAACAGAACCCATGGACACCGGGAGCCACCTCTCAGTAAGAGCCAACCCTGTCGCAGGCCTTGGCAAACCCCTATCACCTCCCAGGTGCTGCCCTTGCTTTAAATGCCTCTATGGGCACAATATGGAGGTGCCCTGCGCACAGCAGGGTTCCATCCAGGTCCGGAGATGGCTCCTCCCCTCCCCACCCACATCTCTCCTCCTTTTCACCAGTTCAGATCTCAAATTACTCCCTCTGGCACCAGCCTCTCCCTGACCCCCTCCCTAGCACTTCTGGCTCCCAGCAGCCCTTCTCTGCCCCCCCCACACACACACACACAGGCCGGCCAGGGCTTGATTCCTGTCTCTGTAGGTCCTCTCCACTTCTGGCCAGGACTTGGGCCTCTGCCAGCCTACTTGGAGGCATCCTGGGTGGGCCTTGGTACAGCTCCTCCTCTGCTCCAGGGAGGCCAAGTGACCTGACTACTAGACAAGAGGGTGATGCCCCCACCCAAGGGCTCTAGCCAGATGCCAGAGCCTCCCTCAGACCCCACTCAGGAACGTTATGCCTGAACAGGAGTGGGACGATCTAGAGAGAGGGGCCGGAAGAGCCACTCTCCTGGTTCCAGATTGACTTGTGCTGTGCAACTGGGCAGGCCTGTCCTCAGGCCTCAGTTTCTTCTGGGGCAAAGAGGGACTCAGACCAGGCGTGGCTACTGGGTCCTGGAAATGGGGCTGGTGTGACTGGGAAACTGAATTTTCTTATTTTAGTTAGTTTAAATGTAAATCTCAATAACCACATATGCTGGCTAGTGGCTACCATATTGGACAACGTGGTTCTGAACCTCAGTCTCTGCAACTATAAAATGGTCCTAATAACAGAATCCAGCCTTCTGGGGTCACTGTGAGAACAGAATGAGACAGTGCTTATCAAGCTCTCAGCCTGGTCTTTGGTACATGGCAAAATGGAATTTGGTATTTCCCACCCTCTTTCGGGTCCTAGATTGTGCTTATTGTACACACAGGCCACACACGTGCACACACCGTACACACTGCACACACCTGCACAGTTGTATCACACGTATATATGCAATTTGCATGCATATTGTGTGTACATGCATCAAACATGTGATTACACATCAGACACACGTGCACACCCACAACTTCGCTCCAAAGCCAGGTGGAGAGCGCCTTTCGAACATGGAAGCTCCTTCCAGCTCTAAAATCTCCCAATTTGTTATGAGAACAAATTGCCGAGTCTCCATCTCCTTCCCTCCCTGCCCAGGATCAGGCATCTCAGAAAACCCTTCCCGACACTCAGGGCCAAGCTCAGAACGGGGCTCTGGAAAAATCCTTGTGTGTGGAGGGCAGGCCCAGGGCAAGAGCGAAGGACGGATTCTGTGAGCTCATCCCAGCAGCCGTCACCAGAGTTCCCAGAGAGGCCGGTGGCGTCAGGAGGGGTGACTGGGTGGGAGCCCGCGGTGGCGGCAGCGAGGGGTGTGGGGCAGCAGAGGGAGGCTGGATGGAACGCGCTATAATAGCAGCTTTGTGCTCCGCTCCCCAGCTCCCTGGGAACGCCAGGGAGATTATGAAACCCGGTGTCTTTGGGAATGCCAGGATATTAGCTGGAAAAAGAATAATACGAAAATAAAATAATGCTCACGATGGAGACAGCAGACGATTAGCAGACGGAGCCAGGGCCTCCTGCTCCGTGGAGGGAGCCAGGCTTGGCCCCGGCGGAAGGTTTCAGGGAAAGGCTGCCCGCGCTAATGAGCAGACAGAGCCTGCCTTCCAGCGAGACGTCTTCAGGAGGGGAGCTGGCAAGCAAGGCCAGCTTGCTAGGGAACACGTGGGCCCGGGGAGGGGTGCTACTAGGCAAGGGGGCGCCATAGGCCTGGTCCTTGGGCCCAGACACCCAGCAACGTCAGGTTACCAGGAGGGCCATCTGGTCACCACCCGCACACAGTCCTCCAAGCTCAATGTCCTCCTCCAAAAAGTCACTCTGGAATGACTCTTATTCGGCACCTCTAGGTGCAAATTCTACTGGGTTTATGCACAGTCACATGTGAGGGTCTCCCTTCCTAACCAGACAGGCATTCCTCAGGGGTCAGGCCTCCACCATCCAATCAGGGGATCCTCTGAAGCAAAGAACACATTTCTCCCTCCAAGGAGCAGGGAGAACATGTCCTCTTTCCCTGCCTCCCTGTCCAGGACCCGGGCCACACACACCTTCAGCCACGAATGGACATGCCCGCCTCTCAGGGTACCTCAATGTGACCACCTCCCTCCCCTCCGTGATGCTCTGTGCACGTTACATCCTCGATGCCCAAAGGTTTGTCCTTGGACCAGCAGGAGCGCATCACCCGGAAGCTATTAGCAATGGAGGCTCTCGGGCCCCACACAGGCACTGACTGCAGAGTGTGCATTTCAACAAGACCCCCGGGTGGTCCCTCTTTACATGCGTCATGTCCTTAATCCTTACAGCACCCCTCGCTGCAGTGACTTTCCTGATGAGGTGACAGAGTCACTAAAGAGATAAAGGACCAGTCCACAACTAGGAAGTAGAGTTGGAAGTAAACCTTCACCATGACCCACCACACTCCTGCCAGGTGCATCCGCAGGCATCGGTGGCCAGTGAGCAAAGACCAGTGCCCAGGATAGTAGCTAGATCCTGGCACCCAAGAAACCAAACCGCCTGCCTGCAGGTTGGACTTTTACCCTGTGCCTGGCCGGGCATCAGTACATCCCAGGATGAAGAACAGCAGGCTCCGGGATAGGAGCCCAGCCTGGCCTTGGAAGGTGAGTGTGTGTGCAGGTGTGTACACATTTGTGGGGGGGAGGGGGGTTGTGGGGTGTGTGTGTGTGTGTGTGTGTGTGTGCTTGCTTGTGTATTAGTGCAGGTGGAGGTTCTATTCACTGAAGTACAGAGTGGTCAGACAGTTTCTGTCAAATGGCCTATGGCCCTGTCCTGATGCCAGCCACACCTAAACACTATCCATGCCGTCTGCCTGTTCTTTCTCTAAGTCAGACTCAGACAGCTTTACTGGGATTGCCCTTCTTCCCATAGCCCCAGAGCCCATCCACGCTTCCATCCACGTACTTTCCTGCACCTCTGGCGTGTGCACTCTCTCCTCCCGCCCAACACCTCACCGCTGATGCTCAGGCCCCACGCCCCCGGCCTCCCTGCCCTGGGCCGCCTGGCAGGCAGCTGCCACATCTGTCTTTCCCACACAGCAGTTCACCGTGTGTGTCAGACTTGCCAGGGCCAGCCGTGAACTCATCACCCAGGTCCACCCCGCCCACCCCGTGGCCTGGCGATGGGAATCGCCCCATTGTGCACCCAGCAGAGCCTCTGAGCCCGTTTGACCCTTTCCTCCCCAGGCCCTGCCACTGCCCCTCCACTCTGGTCCACAGCTCCCATCCCCCGTGGCCACTGCGTCCTGGTCCCTAACCCAGATTCCTGGTGGTCTCCTGATGGGAGGCTCTCCCTCCAACCAGCCCCCATGCCTCCTTCATTACTGGTCCTAAAGCCCAGCTCTGACCAGCACATTCCGCTTAGCAGCCCGCTCTGGCTCCTGCTGCTCACTGAATAGGGTCCGTGGTCACCATCTGTACTCTTTGCCCAGCACTGTCTGGGGGTTTCTTTTCCTGTCCCCCACCTGTCAACCACAGAAGAAGTGCCTGGCCCAGGATGGCCAATCAGAACATTTAGTTCCTCACCCAGGCTCCGGGCCAGTCGGCCACACAAAGGGATGTGTCTCATCCTGGGCATCTCACTCCACATCCAGGAACCCCCAGGCCAACAGAGCAGGGAACAGGACATGTACCCACACAGACTGTCCTGGCAGGGCCTGCTCACCTCTTTGGGGGAACACATTACGCAGACCCTGGACAACTCTGAGTTCACACACACACACACTGTTCCACTGGCTCCAGAAAGTGTGCACTGGGCAGGACAGCCGGGTTGGGGCTCCGTTTTAGAGGCACATCTCTCCCAAAATTCCTAGGGGTGCAATGGCCTATCCCAGGAGACTCAGGTCCAGCCAAGGAATTCTGGGGTTGTTAGACCTCTCTAGCTACGCCCATGGGCTAGGCCAACGCCTCCCAGCCCAGCCCAGGCCAGCCTCTCCTAGAAGAACAGGCCCCTCAGCTGCAGGCACAAGGCAGACCATCAGGGGGCCGAGACCTCTCCCCCTGCTCCATCCTGACTCTGCACGGAAGCAGCAGGTCTTCTGGTGCCAAAACAGGAGCCGTTTTATGGTAGAAAGACTGAGATTTGTGTCCACTTTCTCCACCCGTAGCCCCGGAGGACCCGGAGCCACAGTACCTGTCGCTTTTCCATCCAAAGTTCTATCCTGGGGGCCCCTGTCTCCTCTCCATCAGCCCTGAACATTCCTGGGAACCCCAGCTGCACCTCACCCGACCCAGGCCCGGTGGGCAGGGGACATACCAGGGCCCCCTCGAGGGCGAACACAGCTGCAGGCCCCGTCTTCTCCAGCGGCTCCATGCGGCGGCGCCAGCGGCGGCGACGGAAGGCGTCCGTCTTGCGGTACTCCATGTGGAACTTCCAGCCGAAGAGCGAGGCGTACTCCCAGCCCTCGCCCTGGGCCTCGGCCTGCCGATGCTGCGAGGGGAGAACAGGGCCGACTCCGCAGGGAGTCCTGGGCTCAGCTCCAGCGGCACCCTTCTGCCCTCCACAATTCCTCTCCCACCTCCCACCAGCACCCTCTCGATGGGAAAACCTGGGAGGGCTGCCTGGAGGGGGTACCCTCTGAGCAGCTTCTGCAGTGACAAGAACTCTGGGTCAGAACACCAGGAGGGAAAGATACTCCTAGACCCAGGAAAGGAAGGTAGACGAAGTAGGGATGACTGAGCTTCAGGTTGGTTTGTTTTTGTTTGTTTGTTTCTGGGCGGATTTCCTGAATCCAAGATTGTCTTGTCATTTCCTTTCTCTTCGTCACCTCCCAGCTTATAAAATGGACGGGGGTCCACGGTGCAGAGGCAAAATGGAGACCTCAGTTCCCAGCCCCAGCTCTTCTTCCCCTGACGCTGGGCCTAGGTCAGCCATGGAGGGACCCCCGCTCTCCCCTTTAGCCACATGGAGGGGGGCCTGGAAACCCCTTCCCCGCCAGCTCCCAATAAAGGGCGGCCTGTGACTGCCCCAGATCTGGGCCATGAGCTCAGTGACCAGAGCCTGTCCTAGGGGCCAGCGTCAGCCCTGTCTAGGAGGAACACTGGTGGAGAGGAAGGGAGGGAGGGAGGGAGGGAGGGAGGGAGGGAGGGAGGGAGGGAGGGAGGGAGGGAGGGAGGGAGGCACACTGCCTGGCGAGCCTGCACCTCTGTCCCCGGGGCCCCTTCACAGAGAGGGAAGTCTGTCTCCTTCACGGCACCACGTGAAGCTTGTTGCCCAAGAGCCTTGCCTTCCCCTGGGCCCCGTGGCATCTGTCTTTAGCTTCCCTGTGCCCAAAGGGAGGAAGGGACATGGGTCCTGCCAAAAGCTACTCCTGCGCTGGGGAGACCCGGTTCTTGGGGTTCAGTTCCATGTGTGCTTGGGAGGGAAGGACACAGACCAGAGGCCGGGGGAGGCGGTCTCTGAGGCTGTGCAGACAGGGGCATCTGTGGGACTCAGGAGCAGGTGTGTGCATCCGCAGAGTGAGCACTGGGTGCGACACTGTGTGCTAGGTGTGGGATGTGCCTGTGCTGCCTGTGATCTGTGTGTGTGTGTGTGTGTGTGTGGGAGGAGGTGTGGTATTACATGTGTTAGGTATAATATGTGATCTGTGTGTGTGCTGCTTATGCTCTGTGTTTGTGCTGGGTGTGATGTGTGCATGTGCTGAATGTGATCTGTGAGCATCTCGAGTGAGCTCGTGTGCCTTATACATACATGTCCTTTGTACACCCGGGTGTGTTTGTTCCCAGCTTGCCTTCCCGCACCGAGACCTCCCTCCCACCCACCACCCACTGGGCTCACCTTCTTCAGCGCCTCCATCTGGCTGAGGTCCCTCCTGCGCAGGCGGACCCAGCGCCGCCGCCGATGCGTGTAGTACATCTTCTCAGCAGGGACCCAGTGCCTCGGCTTCCGGTCCGGGGGGATGGTGATACTGTACTCCCAGCCTGGGGGAGGGGCGCCCATCACTCACGGCCCCGCCACTCTCCGTCTCTCCGGAGCTCTCTCTTCACTGGGGCCATGCTCACAGACCCACTAGCGGCCACTGACTCCTAGCCTGCAGCTCGCAGGGAGGGCTAACCCAGGAAGTCCCCAGGCCAAGGCGCCCTGCCCTCAGCTGCCCCCATCAGCACCTTGTGAGCTCGCCAGGGTGGGCGGGGCTTACCGGGTTCCACGTGCCACCCACCTTGCTCGTCAACGGCCCGATTGAGGTCCGTGGACCACTCCTCATCTTCCCACTTCCAGCCCAGTGGGCACTCGATGTCCTCCTTGGGAAGCACCTTCTCCCCGTTCTGGGCAACAAGGGACAGGCAAGCATGAGGGTGTGATCAGGGAGGCTGGAAAGACGCCCCAGGTGTGACTCGGGTCGAGTCCTACCCACGCCGGACCTCACACTGTCCCTCTGGTAACCAGAGCACAGAGGCTGGGGACATGGGAGCAAGAGAGAAAAGGTCCCACCCTCCTCTGGATCGCAGGTCCCTCTCCGGCCCCCATTTACAGGATCCAAGAAAGCAGAACCCACCTGCCTGGAGCACCCCCTTACCACGTCCGTGTAGTTGTCACTCATGTAGATCCACTGGCCTCCAGGGAGCCGGGTCTGGTTCTCAAACACCTCCTCCACGAAGCTCAGGTGGCCCGCATCGGTGTCATAGAGCAGGCTGTGGGTGGGGGACAGTCAGCGCCCCGACCCCCATCCACCCACAGCCTCCAGCAGAGCAGCCCAGGCCTGGGCCCACCTTCCTGCATCCGCCTCACCCCAACCCACCATCAGACAGGCAGAGGGGAGAGAATGAGGCGGGGTCAGGATCATGGGGAGAGAGAGAGAAAGAAGACCAGGGAGACCAGAGACACTCAAGGGCAGAAGAAGACATTGCCCCCAAGAAAAAAAGAAAGGAAAGGAAAGACCCACTGAAGACACTACGCCTGGGGGTAGTGAAACTCAACAGGTAACTATAGCGATGGGAAGGGTCATCACGCTGTAGGCTTACTATTTGACTACGTAACTGTCATACAAACTACACTTCAATGTTTTTAACGTTTAAAAGAAACAGATGCTGAATGTCAACCAAGCTGGGAAAGAGACAGAGGTGTCAGTGAGAAGGACGGCGCTGTTCTGAGGAACACCGAGGAAGATCGGGCCTCGGCATGAGGAGGAGGTGGCGTCCTGTGGTGTCTGGGAGGAAAGGCCGCAGCCAACAGGAGCCAAGTCAGATGCAAAGGCGATGGAGGCCAACGCTGATTTAATAATAAAGAGCCTTCCGGTTGTTAGAGGCCTTCCAGAGAGGAGCGCTGCCTAGCGAGCCCCAGTTCTGGGGAGCTCGGGTGGAGGTCCCTACGGCCAGGGCAGAGGTGGGGGGAGTAGGCAGAGGAATGAAAAGGCCTTTCAGAAAAAGGGCTGAGGCGGAGGGGTCCCCAAGCCCTCCCTCCCCACAACTCACGTCTTCTCTGGACACACGAACCAATCCCCAGCCCAGGCCCAGCCGGCCGAGGGGCGGAAGCTGTCCTTGGGGAGCTTGATCTTGCCCGTGACATCAGAAAACTTGGGGTAGGTAAGGCCCGTTGTGCCCCAGTTCCCCACCAGGGCCAGCTTGGTCTGGTTCTCATACTGGAGAGCAAGCAATAGAGAAGTGAGTGGGGTCTGGTGGCAGCTTAGGGGGTGAGGGAGCGTGGAGAGGGTTGCGGGCACTCACGGTTTCAGCGAAGACGGAGAGCTTGCCCTCAGCAAACTGGTTGAACTCCTTCTCATCCACAGAGAGCCCGAACCAGAGCTTCACCCGTATCTGCACTGGCATCCGGACTCTGGGCACATCCTCCATTGGATACTGGGTACCAGAGAGGAACAGAAACCCAACTAGTGGGGCCCTTGGGAGTGGGCCTACCAGTAGGTGTGTACCCTTTCGAAGGACTTATCAGAATTTCTTGGAAGAGATGTGTGTGATTATCAAATGCCTTCTCCTCACCTGCTAAGATGCTTTCCCATCAAAGCATCCCCCCACCTAGATGCTCTCTACAAAGACCAGCACCCCCCATTCTCTCCTCTCCCGCCACATCCTCCTTTCTGTACCATCCAATGGAATGTGCTGCTACAATGTTAATGACTTCTATCTACATGGCCCAATATGGTAGGCACTAGCCCAGTGGTTGGCAAACTCAGTCAACAGAGCCAAATACCAACAGCACAATGATTAAAATTTATTTTGAGAGCCGGAAACCGACTTCTGCGCACGGGCCATGAAGTTTCAATCGCACTGTACGTGCGCACCCGCACGTGGTATTTTGTGGAAGAGCCACACTCAAGGGGCCAAAGAGCCGCATGTGGCTCGAGAGCCGAGGTTTGCCAACCACTGCACTAGCCCATGTGGCAACTGACCACTTAAACTGTAGCTAGCGTGAATGAAGAACTAAATTTTTAGTTTTATTTCATTTATGTAATTTTCTCCCAAGGATATGTTTTTATTGCTTTGAGAGAAAGGGAAAGAGAACGAGAGACAGAGAGAAGAGCATCGATGTGAGAGACTCAGGGATCAAACCCACAACCCAGGTATGTGCCCTGACTGGGAATTGAACCCACAACCTTTTAGTGTCTGGGGCAATGCTCCAACCAACTGAGCCAGCCAGCCAGGGCTTATTTCCTCTTAGTTAATTTAGATTTAAACAGCACATATGGCCACCATATTGGAGAATGCAGTTCTAGGATGTCTCTAAAGGAGATAGGATGACCCAGGTCTGGAAGGTGAAGAGGTTCAAGCCTCTCCCTTCCTTTTCAGTTGGGTTTCTTTGTTTGTTTGTTTGTTTGTTTGTTTGTTTGTTTTTCAGGGGTTTCTTGGCCGGATGTGAGTGTATCATCTGATAACTCTACCCTTTCAAGATCTTATCAGCCTTGTTAACCACTATTCATTGGTCTCTTTAGCCGGAACCTTTCAGAAGCTCTGCCAAAATGGGATAACCACCATGTCGCAACACAGGAGATGTATTCTCCCCGACTCCTTCACTGTTGGATTGAAATCAGGGTCAGATATGGCCTGAGGAGAAGTGCCTCACCCTTAGAGAAACACATCACAGTGTCCCTCAGAGGAAGTAGCGTTCAGTGCGCTGGGCTTCCTGTACCTGAGCCTGGAGCAGTAACTCCTCTGACAGGGAGCAGAAAGAGACAAGAAAGTCATTTGTGTGGGTGGAGAAGAGGAAGAGAGGCCGGGGTAAGAGGTCTTCCTAATGGAGGAGGCCTGGGTGCTGGAGACGGAGCCCGGCCAGGTCAGAGGCTGGGGAAGGGGTGCCAGGCAATGACGCTCTCACCCTTCCCCCAGCCTCTCTGCTTTTGGTTCGTCCTCAATGAAGCCTGGAGGAAGCCCGTGACCCCACGTGGCAGCCCCTTGGAAACCTCCCAGTGACTGTTCTCTTCAGCTGTCCTCTCCCTGGGGTGGTTAGCAGCCTTTTCCCCTCCAAACCACCAGCCCCAGGGAGATGGCAGGAATGCCTGACCCCCCCTTCCCCCTCCACCCCCGGTCTCCCCCCTGCCCTCCCCCCAGACGGGGCCAGCCTGCCGGACCCAAAATAGCAACAGCAAATAAAGAAATGTCTAGTTTGGGGCTCCTCTCCCTCTCTGCTGGTGCTCATTTTTTCCAACTTTGGTTTAAGTTAAGAAACACCAATGTTTTCTTGGTCTCTGCTCGCTGCCAACATTTTTGTAGAGCTTGCTCAGGAGCTACTGGCAGGGCTCATAAACTCAGTGGGGAAGACTTCGAGAAACAATTCTATATCTTTTTTTTTTTTTTTTCCCCTCTGCTTGGAATCAGGGAAAATTTTCAGTTTGCATTTCCCCGAGGCTGCGGGGCTGAGAGGTCAAAGCCTGGAGCATGTCCGCCAGGCGCCCTCCTCCCGCAACCCCGCCTCCACCCCAGCCAGACAGCCTTCCCTGGGCAGCCCCACTCAGATGTGGCAGCTCCTTGACTTCCTGTCCCTCCTGTCCTACCAGGCAAGGAGCTGGCTCGGGTGAGAGGAAAGACGGCAAGGGGAACGTGCCCTGGATGGCCCGTGAGCAGGTGGGAGGGGAAGCCTGCCGCCTCCCACACCTCCTACCCTCTTTCCAGGCAAAACTGCCTCTCGTCTGAGGTATCAGTTCCCCACGTGCAGACAGACGTCTGCTCATCCCTGACTGTGGGGTGACTCCACTCATGGTGCTCACGGAGCCACCTCTCCCCGGGAGCCAGGGAGCTCCCAAGGAAAAGGGGAGAGGAGGGGAGGGGAGAGAAACTAACATGCACTGACCACCGAGTTCCAGCAAGACCCATGACTTGGGCCACCTAATTCCGTTCTCAAAGCCTATGAAGCAGGCAGCCTGACCTTCCTTTACAGGCCAGCGGTTCAGAGAGCCCAGGAAGTCCGTCTGAGGCCACACAGGATCCCAGCCAGCCCCGCCACCTGGCCACTTCCACTGGGCCTCGGAAACCTGTCCTCCCCACCCACCCCAGGCCGGGACAAGAATGACTGGCCAATACAGGAAGGAGCTGACCAACCGCCACTCAGAGGTGTGAACCTAAGCGTAGCCAACAGTGACTTGGAGGTGGTGAGGTGGGGGTGGGTCCCGGTGTGCTGGGAGGAGGCAAGGGGCAGGGGCAGGGGCAGGTGAAAGCCGGGCGGTGTATAATGCCAGCAGGACCATCTGGAACCAATAGGAAGTGGGAAGGGGTTCGCCGGCTCCCCAAGGCCACCCCCCTCCTGCAGGGCAGCTCGATGACAGCCATCCCAACAGGGACCCGCCCCTTTCGCCGGGGCAGCCACGGCATGGGGAGGAATTTCCCCAAATTATATCCTGACCACCAGGCCACAGGACCCAGAGCAAAGCAGCCTTGGCTCTGTGTCCCCACATTAACCCAGAGAGAGGACAGAGGGTCCCCGTGTTCCCACTCACTTCCCTGTCACCAAGGCCAGTCAGGTCAGTCCCCTGGGAGAAGATGGAGAGGGAGCAAGGATGGGTGCTAGAGAGGCGACAGAAAGGGAGCGGGGATGGGGTGAGTCTGGGCGGCAGGACACTTGCTCCCAGCTCGCTGGTGGGGCAGAACCATGGGCACACTGGTGCCCACACACCAGCCTTCCCACAGGTGTGTGTCTCCCTGTGCCATGGCTGCTCTGAGGCTTCTCTGAGGCTCCAGCTGGTGTGGAAGACACTCAGGCAGGGATGGAGGAGGGTCCGTGTCAGGACCCTTAGAGGCTGGAGGGCAAGCACAGCCTCAGGGGCCGGGAGCTCCGCTCTCCCTGCTCACCCTCTGGACCAAGTACCTGGGGTCTAGGGTGATAGATCCTCCCTTCCTCCAGTTGATGGACAGACGTAAACCCCACCTGCAGCCAGACATTCCTGAGCACTGAACCACCCATCAGCACCTGCCAAATACTCTAAGCCCCGGATTCCTAAGTCCCCGGGTCCCTAATCATAGGCCTTACATGAAACCACCCATCAGTGTGTGCTGAGTGCCCTAAGCCCCGTTCCCCTTTCCTCCCCTTCAAAAGGGCATGGATCCTGGCCCTCCCTCTCTCTCTGGAAGCCGCGGTGGTACTCTCCTCTTCACTAAAGCCTGTGTCCTGGCACCCCCGTCTCCGGCCCTCTCTGTTCCATCTTTTACAGGGAACCCTGTGAGAGGCAGCCGGAGGGAGGGAGGGAGCTTTACCTAACGTCCTCTGCCCTTTCCAAGAGCGGAGTCCTGGGACTCGGAGGCAGGGAGAGAACGGAAGGGGAAGGAGAAGAGGACAGGGACAGGCCCCGGGCGGAGACCATGTGGCCATCCCGTGAGGAGAAGGCACCCACTTTCAGGAAGATGGTCTGCAGCTTCCCGCAGTTCCTGCCGCAGTAGCGGGCGCCCCGGCTAGAGAAGAGCACCTCGCGGACGGGCACCCGCTGGTACGCCACGCGCTTGTCTCCCTGCAGCATCCAGATCACGATGTCGGGCAGGCTGTTCTGGGGCTGAGAGAAGGCGGCCATCGGGATGGGGCCGGAGACCCGCCCGGCCCACACCCCACAGCCAGCCCACCATGAGCCGACCCCCCTGGCTCAGGGGCCGCCCAGGTCTCTCCCCCCGCCGCCACCCCTCAGATGCCCACCCCCGCTACCCCCGTGGCCTCTCAGGTTCAGCTAGGCACCTCTGATGTCAGCAGCCACGAGCCCCCAGGTCAGGGGACCGCCCCGGGCTCACACCAGGAGCCGGCCAAAAACCACGGAGCTGAGCTCACGTTTCCTGGGAGAAGACGCTCCTGCCTGGAGCCCAGAGCTTACGTTCTTCGATTCCCCACGCCCACCCCACCTCCACGCACTGGTGGATGGGTGCTCCCGGCACAGACATACGTGAAGGAGTTCATCTGACCCGGAAGATGACATTACACCTAAGATGACTGCCTCCTTCCTCACCCCCTTCCTCACCATCCCCCTCCTCACGCTCAGAGCAGCAGCGAATCCAGAGCAGGGGCCCTGGGAGCGGACTCTTGCTGGGCCTGGGGCAGTGGGCTCTGAAAATGGGGACTAGTTCAGAACAGAGCTGCCAGGCCCCTGGGCCGCTCTGAGCCTCTGGCAGTGACGGGGAGGTGGCTGGTGGAGTACAGTGCATCTATACCAGGGTTGGTGAGCAAAGTGCAGCGGGAGGAGGCTGGGTCTGCCTCTGACCAGGCCTCCGACTCCCGCGGCCCTTGCTCGGCATTTCACAGGCCTCGCTCATGCCTCCCCAGGAGGCAGAGAGGGGCAGCCGTGTGCCCGGTGAGGAAATCCAGGCTCCACGAGGCTAGGAGCTGGGTTTATCTGACTCCAAAAACGTGTTGCTAACTGTAATACCGGGAATTCTCAAAGTGTAATCCCCGGAACGAAAATGCAAATTCCCAGGCTCAGTCCAGATACGTGAGGTGGGGGAGGGGAGTGGGGGGCTGTGACCTGTTTGACTGAGCCCCTCCAGGGATTCCAATGTGCATTCACATCTGAGAAAGACTCTCTCTGGGCTCCTGTACATCAACGGCGCCTGTTGGACCTGAACCTCTGCAGCCCTGCCCCAGCCTGTGCCGAGTTCGGCAGTCGGTCTGGGCCACGATTCGGGGAGGCATGCCTTGACCAGCCCGGGAGGATAGTCCGTGGCCACTGGGCGGGGTCGGCCTGTGGCTGAGCAACACGCGTTCCCCATGTCGTTGTGCAATGACCGAGACCCTGCTCGGGAACTGACTCTCAGGGGCCCACGTTCCAGGTCGCCTTCCCCTCCTGAGTCCCCTGGGCCTCCCTCCCCTCTCAGCAACCTGCTCCTCCAGAAGCCCCTTCACAGGGCCGGCCCTTCCCTGCTCGCTCCTGGGAGATTCTTCCTACCGTCACCATCGCCTCTCTGGGGGCCACACTTGGCTCTGGTCAGAGTGGCCAGCAGCTGGTCTGCCTCTGATACGAGTGGACCTTCGTCCTCATTCTAGACAAATCAGGGTCCTGTCTGGGCGCCCGGAGAACCAGATGGGTGCATCTGACCTGAAGGGGGTGGTGCGGGTGGGGGAAGGTGCCCCTGAAGACAAACTGGAGCCTCTTCTCTCTGATTAGGTATGGCAAGGCTCAGAGTGACTGCACAGGCAGCCTCCCCAGGCCTGGGCTCAGGGGCACCCACGGGGGCAGGAAACACAGGGCGCTGGCGGGGAGAAGGAGTTGGGTCCTGGGAAAGCAGGCCCAGCACTGGACCTAGAGCCAGACGCCCTGGGGTCTGGCCCCGGCTCTGTCTCTGAAACATGTTATCAGTATTTCTTCTCCACATGTGGGGGCATGGATGGAGCACCTACGACACACCAGGCTCTGTGCTGGGCCCCACAATACCCAGGGTCCCGTTGCTGGCTCTCTCCTCCTTCCACAAATGGGGACATGGAGGCTCAGAGAGGATAAGGCACTGGCTCAAGGTCACTCCACAACGGAGCCAGGGTTGGATCGTGGTCCAGATTGTCCCACGTTCCTCTCCATGCTGATGCTCCAGGCAGGAAGGAAGGTGCCTTGCAGGGTTAGCTACCTCCTCCGCCAGGGTCCGAAGACGCAGGAGCCAGTCCTCAGCCTGCTCCAAGGTAGCAGGGAGCTCGTAGTGGCCGAGCTTCAGGTCCAAGGCCGCCTCGGTGATCTGGCTCAGGTGCCGGGTGCGCAGCTTGTACAGGTACTGGTCCAGGTAGGTGGCAGAGGGCCTCTCGTGGACATTGCCCAGGGGCTGGCTGAGGGGGACAAATGGGGGGGGGGGGGTACCTGATGAGCAGGAGCCTGGTGCATACCCAGGTCCAGGCACGCACATGCATGAACACACATGGTATGAGCACAGGCCCCCACAACAAGCCTCACACCCTCAGCCCAGCTGCTGGGCACCATCTGCAGCCTGACCCACCTGCACAGTCATCTCTGTGCAACCTGCTCCATCCTCACCTCCGTCCTCACCTTCCCCAACCAACTGGCCCACGTGCCACTGTTCTGAAGTCCCGGGGAAGTGGGGGAGGGGGGGGGCGGGGAGGCTGGAACACGGGGGTCCTTCCCTGCCCGCTGCATCCTCCTACAGCAGAGGCCTGAGCGCTAGGCTGCCCTTGGCTGAAACGAATCCATTCTGCTGTGCGCTCACTTTCTTCAGGAAGGAAATTTATGGATCCCTGACAAGCCACTGCAGACGCTGTGGGGAGGCCGGCGGCCAGCAATACAGATGTGTCGGCTTGGGGCAGCCCCACAGCACCCCTCCCAGGGCCCTCTGTTTAGGAAGCCTTCGGGGAGGGGGGTGGGGAGGGGAGAGCAAACCGTCCCAGAAACACAGCCCTAGGTCCTACGAGGGGGTTTGGATTTAAACTCCATCCTGTTTGGAGGCAACTAACTCTGACCCCCCCCCCACCCTACCCACCCATCCCACTGGGCTCCTGATGGTCCTCCCTCTGGCTCCTCCTCACCATGCAGACCCTCCAAGGTCAGCCAGTACACGCACAGGGCCCTGCAGGACGCGGTGGGGAGTGGGGAGCTAGCAGGACCCCTCTAGGTGATCCCCGCTTGAGCGCATGGGGGGGCTGCCCCACCTCCGCTGAGCCCTTGACTCCCAAACAGGACATCAGTCAAACCCACTCAGCCAGTTCTGCTCCCACTGCCGCGTGCAGCCTCCACCCCCCCCCCCACCCTCCCACCCCATGCTCCCCTCCCAGCAGCGTCTCGACTCCGGCTCCCGGCTGATTTATTTTTCTGCCAATTTCCCCGAGCTATGCAGAACCAATTACCGCCGGAGCACAGCGGCACCGCCGCCGCCAGATACACCGCTCTGGCAGGCCCTCGGCGCACTACATTTTTCCTGTTATTTTTTTTAATTGAATTTTTTAGGGTGGGGGGGGAGCGGTACGCAAACTCCATCTCAGGAAACTTAAGCCCCGGGACCTGTCTCAGGTCACGTACTGCACACCCCGCGGTAATATAATATTTACTGCCCCGAGGGTGCCTCGGATGGGGCTGCCCCAGGCCTGGAGAGGGACGGCCGCCATCCCTCCAGCCCCGGCCTCCTGGTTCGTGGCGGAGGGGCATGCTCGGTGGGTAAGGGGGGGGAGGAGGGGACCTGGGCCAGAGTACTGCCTGGGAAGGAGGCCTGAGAGGGCCCGAAGGCGGGGGCAGGCGGGTCTGGAGTGGGATAGGGATTGCTGAGCCAGCCAGGGTGATTTATGCTCCCAGCCCACGCAGGGAGCCGGGAGGGACTGCCACACGGACCACCGAAGGGAGATTTTCACGGAGGCCACCAGCCCAGCCAAGACTCCCCGAGAAATAGCCGGGACCCGGGCTGCCCCTGACAGGAGCCGCCTCAGACCTGTCCTGCCCCAGAAAAGCCAGAGGCAGAGCGTGTGGAAAGCAGGGGAGGCCTGAGAGAAGAGCCTGGAGGACACTGTACCCCCAGCTCCAGGCAGCTTGCTGTGGCCAAGCCTGTTGACTTGAAAATGGTAGGCAGGCCGAAACCGGTTTGGCTCAGTGATAGAGCGTCCGTCGGTCTGTGGACTGAAAGGTCCCAGGTTCGATTCCGGTCAAGGGCATGTACCTTGGTTGCGGGCACATCCCCAGTAGGAGGTGTGCAGGAGGCAGCTGATTGATGTTTCTCTCTCATCGACGTTTATAACTCTCCCTCTCTCTTCCTCTCTGTAAACACACACACACACACACACACACACACACACACACACACACAATATATTTAGTATAATAATAAGAAGAAGAAGAAAGAAAGAAAATGGTAGGAAGGTGCAGGGCAGGCTGACAACAGCTGAACTGCTCCCATGTCGCTGCCTGCCCCTGCCCCTGCCCCTGCCCCTGCCCTGAGTGGTGCTGCCAGGGAGGCAGCAGAGTCCAGCCTGAAAGATGAACTGGCCACAGGGCCATCCATTTCACTCCTCAGGAGCAGCAGCCCTGCTGGTCCTGGCTGAGCCCGGCCCTGCCTCAGGGAGCCTCCCCTGAGCAGCCTCGGAGGCAGGAGCACTGCCTGGAGGAAGTGGCCCCTAGTGCACCTGTCAGGCCCAAAAGAGCAGGAAGGGTGTTCCAGCAGAAGGAGCAGTATATGCACAAGACGAAACCTCAGAGGCAGGAGGGAGCACGGCAGGGGCTCTGAAGAGGTCAGACGGCAGGGTCCCTGGGGCCCGCAGGCAGAGAGAGGAGACAGAGAGACTGTCCGCCGGGGTACGAGCCAGGGCTTCTAACGGGGAGACACCGCGGGGCTGGCTGGCGTGGAGCAGCAGGGCGTCATTTTAGGAAGATCAGGGGATGCACTGGAGGTGCTGCAGGACATCAGTGGAGAGGTGCGGTGGGCAGCCGGGATAGTGATGAGATGGGGGCTGGGCCAGGACAGGGTGAGCGCCACTGGCCGTGGGGAGAGAGGGGCTCTCAGGAGAAGCTGGAAAGGGGTCGAATAGAACAAAGGATATTCATTGTGGGGGCTGGGGCAGGGGCTGAGGAGGCGTGAGCAGCCAGGGTCAGCCATGGCGAGCTGGCTCGGACCCGGACCCGGCTGCCCTGCAGAGATGATGCTCAGCACAGAGCCAGAGCTGGAATCCCCCTTGCTGTGGCCCCGGGGCCGGTGGTGGCCTCGGGTGGTGTCCAAGGGGGTCAGTCTGATGGCCGGCACGCCTCCCCCAGAGAGCTGTTCCTCGGTTGCTCAGAGGGTGAGGACCTCCTCCTAGCTCCTGGACTGGGACCAGTGCCCCGAGGGCCCAGGCTCCCTTCTGTCCTGAGGACAGTGGCTCGAGGGGGCCAGGCTTTGGCAGAAGCATTTTTAGCCAAATCCTCCGAGAACCTGCGAGGGCAGCGAGGGCAGCCCAGCGCGGGGTCCACTCCTCGCAGAGGCTTCAGGCACCTCAGACCTGCCAAGGTCCACAAGTCATGTGCCCAGCCCTGGCCCACCTCCGCACCCAGCTGCCAGCCAGCCAGGGGGGCACAGAGAGGGCCGCTGAGCCCTCCCTGTGGTGGCCATGTCCCTCTGTGCCCCTCCAGCCGCCCTCTGGCCTCCAGATCATAGACGGACATCCCACAGGCACCTCCCACTCCACATAGCCAGCCCTGAATTCATCTTCCCCAAAAGCTGCTCTCCTGCTGGCCTCTCCAGACGGGCCCTGCCCTCCCCGCAGCTGCCCTGGCCAGAGCCAGGGGATCCTTCTCCACCTTCCTTGGGTCCCCACAGCCAACCCCCCCATCACATCCTGTCCTTAAGGAGCAGAACAGCACCAAGGGGCTCAGCCACCTCCTAGGGGTGTCAATCTGGCCAAGCTAACCTCTCCGGGCCTCAGTTTCCTCATCTGTAGAATGGGGGTCATCCTACTTCCTACCCCACAAGGCTGTTATGATTAATTCATATCTACAAAATTCTTAGGACAGCACCTGAGGTTGAACATGCTCTTCCTGAGGTTGCTGTCACCTCGATGCTTCCTGCATAGTCCACGCTGCCCTCTGCTTCCCCTGCCCCTCCCTCCCACAGTCCCTCCTGAGGTGATGCCTGGTCCAGTCTCCCATCCCTAGACCATGCGGACTGCTGTGCTCCCCGATAGTTCCCAGGGCTGAGTCCACCTTCGGGGGCCCCGGAGGCCTGTCTCGTTTGGACCTGAGCTGCCCAGTGACTGTCCCTTCCCAGAGGCAGCAGGCACTTTAGGCTTCTCCGTCTTTGCCTGGTGGACCCTCGCTCCAGGGCTGACCCCTGGCCCTCCCCCTTCAGAGTTCACATCGGGCCTCCCCTCCCCCAGGGAGCATCCAAATTAGAGGTGAGTCACACGCACCTGCTCTGAGCCCCTACAGCACAGCCTCCAACCCAACACACCTGACCTCGTGTGCTCACGCTTGCACGGGTCACGTGAGGGCTCACGCTGCCCCTCGTCAACCTGCTCTGCGCTCAAGCCTTCGGGAGGGCTGGGGGATGAATGGATGACCTGCCTGCAAGCCCACCACGGTGCGGGGAGAGGGAGGCAGTTCTTTGGGGAAATGTCTGTCCTGGTCCTTCCCAGCAGAGGCGCAAAGGACCAGGAGGACACGGCGTCGGGCGGGATGGTGACCCACGTCTCAGCGTGAAGGCATTGGTCACAGCTTCCCCGGGGGGGGGGGGGGGGGGGGCTGGCAGGACTGAGAGAGGCACACAGAGCACATGTGCGTATGTTCACACTAACTCCGTAGATAGTACAAAGGCCACTCTTCACTGTTAGGACCGTGGGACGGCTCAGAAAACGAAGGGTCCGAGAGGTGGAGCTGCCGGAAGCCACAGGGCCAGTGAAAGAGACAAGAATCTACATGTCTGTAGAGGGTGGGCTGAGAAGGCACATGGACATCCTTTAAATTGTCAGCTGAGCCCGAGGCCCTGGCAGAGCACCTTTGTCCAGGTGTCAGCAGGGACGGGTCTAGATATGTAAATCCAGTCATGCTAGAGCCTCGTTAAGAATGCAAATAAGCTCCTTTGACCCTATAAAATAAACCTACTGCATAGCTCCGGTCACTCACTCCCTCTCCATCAGAGAAGATGGCGCCCACCTCGATGAATCTATCTCTGCCTCTTGGTCTCTTTCTCTCTTTTATTTCTTAATCCCCAGCTCCTCCACTCGGGAACCTGTTTCCTTTTCCGTGATGAAGATGGACATGGAAAACAGAGAAACAGCATCTCCTTGACATTGCTGCTTCTTAATAATCGTCATAGTTACCATGTGTCAACCACGGGGCCGGGAGCTTTTGTTTGTGCGCTATCATAAATTAGCTAGTCTCCGTGCGGGTCAAAGGTGAGGAAACCAAGGCCAGAGCAGGTGAGGGGTGAGCCCTGAGTCTCGGCCGCACAGGGAGGAGATGTGGAGATGCGCCGTCTCCCAGGCCTCAGAGCCCCCATTCTCCCGCACCCAAGGCCTCCTTTACCTGACCATCAGCCACGTCAGCAGAAGCCCCACCAGAAACCTTGGTCCCTGATATGGCCTTGGGGGAAGGAGGGACGCCGCCTCACTCTCCCCCCTCCCCCCCAGCCAGCTCCTCCTGCAGATTCCATCAGGGAAATAAGAGGTCGGGGATCAGAGACACAATGCTCCCCATTCAGGTGAGCGGCCGCCCAGGGCCCACAGCTGCCGCGGCTGCAGGGAGATTTATGACCTGCTCTAAATGTCACCTTTTCAACTCCCCGCGCTGGCTCCGCCACCTCTGGACTCCGCGCGGCTGGACCGCTGGCCAAGAGGGGCCGGGAGACGTGCCGCCGCTCACCGCCACCCACGAGCAGCACGCCCGGGCACCGGCCGGCGGAGCCAGGAGGGCGGGCGTGGGTGCCCGGCACCCCTACCTGCAGTCTGCGATGAGCTCATCCATCAGCTGAGCCACCAGGGCGTCCACGTCCTCGGAGGAGCACTGTGCCTTCAGGGCCAGATGGACCTGCTCCAGGCCGGCTTCCTGGGGGGGGGGGGGGGGGGGAGGCGGGCAAGCGTTAAGGTGGTCACTGCAGGGCAAAGGGGCACCGAGGACCCCGGCACCACACCCAGTCCCTGAGCCAAAGAGGGGAGCCGTTAGAGCAACGACAAGACCAACCAGACACGTCAGGGTCTGTCCAGGGCTTCCACACCCAACGGACCCAAAGTCTGAGCCCGGGGCTCCAGCCTGGAGCGCACGTGGTCGCAAGGAGGTGGGGCGCTTTCAGCAGCTCCTCACAGGTCCCTGCAAGCCAGGTCCGCCGTCTCCCGGGGGAGTGACTGCTGAGACCCTCTGTTCCCGCCTGGGATGGGCTCTCCTTGCAAATCCACCACCCAGCCAGGCCCGGGCACGGCCTCCCTGCTTCGGGAGCCCTCAGAAACCTCCAGTCACGGTGTTCCTACCCAACAAATGCCCATGGCCTTTCCCATCCTACAAATGCCCACGGTCGGAGTCATGCAGGGGTTCACCTGGCGTCTTCCATGGAGCACATCTCCAGCCTGTTCCTGAGCCTCAGCCCTGGGCTGGGAGGCAGGGATGGCCCACAGAACATCCCCAGGCAGCCCTGTCCCTCAGCCCCCACGCTTCCCCACCCCCAGCTTCTCGCCATGTGCTCCTCCAGGCACCACCGGGCAGGACGGGCCCTGGAAGTACACAGCCCCGGGGACTGTCCCAGGAGAGAAGGGCTGGCCCAGAGGACGGAGTGTGGACTTAAAAGGCGTCGACTCCAAGTCCCCCTGCACCTCGTAGTTTGCCAGTCCCAGGGAAGGTGTGGGCCGCCACGGCCCTCCACTGGAGCCTGCATCCTCTCCCAGCCTCGCCTTCCCCTTCCTCTCCCACCTTCCCTCCTCACGGCCCTCACCTCCTCACCCACAGACAGGCCTAGCCTTTCACACCTCTTCCTCCAGCACTGCCTCACGTGCTCCAGCCGTGTGGCCACACCTGCCTCCTCACGTTCCCACGGGCCACGTGCCCTATGGGTGAGCCTCCACTACATGCACACACGGAACGGCCTGGGGCCACAGCCCGGGCACTGGCTCCCGCCCTGGCCTCTACCCTCTGCCCGCTGTGATTCCCCTTCCCTCTCCGGCCAAGCGCCAGGCCGGCCACACCCACCCTCCACAGGCCGAGCTCTGGTAGCATCCAAACCAGGATTTACCACCTGTCTCTCTCCTGGCTTCCTACTTCCCAGTCCACCCCTTCCTCTTCCGACAGACCCCCAGGACCTCCCAGCCCAAGACGGAGGGATTTCCACCCAGACCCTCTCCTTCCCAGGACGGTCACTCTGCCCTGGGCCACTGCCACGGTGCCTTCCCGGGCTCCTGTCACACCCCGCGCGGCTCCGAGACGCCTCCCTGCTACTTCCTGGCCCTCCCCCTCCTGCAGCTCCTGCTGCTCCTGAAGTTTAGGACTCTGTGTGGGCCAGCCTAGGCCCCCCTCACTGAACCGACTCCCTGAAGGCAGGTCAGCTGCTTGTTCATCTCTAACTTCCATGTGGAAGCTTCTAGTACATCCCTTCTGTGATGACATCTGATAAAATGTCAAAGGCATCTGATAAAAGAATGAGTGAGCCGAAACCGGTTTGGCTCAATGGATAGAGCGTCAGCCTGTGGACTGAAAGGTCCCGGGTTCGATTCCGGTCAAGGGCATGTACCTGGGTTGCAGGCACATCCCCAGGAGGGAGTGTGCAGGAGGCAGCTGGTCGATGTTTCTCTTTCATCGACATTTCTAGCTCTCTATCCCTCTCCCTTCCTTTCTGTGGAAAATCAATAAAATATATTTTTTTAAAAGAATATAAAAAAAAAATGAATGAATGAATGAGTGAGTGAGTGAGTGGGTGCCGGACTGTCCTGCTCCTCGCTCAGCCCCTCTCAGCTCTTTTCCGGTGCCGTCTTCTCCATCAGCCTGAGGGCTCCCCCGGCATCGTTCTCACCCCCGTCCCCTCTTCCCCCACAGCCTGGGCCTGTGAGGACCGAGGGACCGGGCACATGGCGGTCTGCGGGCACAGCTGTGCGTGAGCGTGCGCGCCCGCGGGGGCCGGTTGGACGGCGCCCACCGCGGTGGTGCGGGCACGGGCTGCTCACTCACCAGCCTGTCCGCGATCCTGAGCAGCTGGTTCTGGGCCTCGATCCTGTGGCTGATGTCCTCCCAGTAGGACGACAGCACCACCACGGGCTTCACGTTGCCCCAGGGGAGGTAGTAGTAGTGGCAGCCTGGCGGGACACAGAGGGCCGGGGCTGAGCCCAGGGTGCGGGGCTGGGGGAAAGGGAGAGCCCGAAGGTGGGACGGATTCAGGCACCGGCTCCCCCCTCCCCACAAAGAACTCCGGGGGACAGTGTTCCCCAGAGTCCAGACAAGACACCCACGCTCCCCCTCGGTGCTGAGGACAGCGGCTGCTCTCCCTGGGGTTCCTTCGTGCAGCAAAACGGGGGGGGGGGGGGGGGGGGCGGGGGGGGTGCTGTCTGAAGGACACTGGAAACCCGCATTCTCTGCATTCTCTCCGCCAAGCCCCTCAGCCACCAGGTGACAAATGAGGCCACGGGTCAGAATCAAGGCTCACGGTGGCCAGCTTGGGCAGGCCAATCGGTGGGTCCCGGCAGCAGGGACCCCTGGAAGGTGATGGGGGAGGAGGCACAAGGGGAAGCCAGCAGAGGGTCCTCCGCCCCCAGCAGGCCCTCCAGTGGGCCTCTGGCAACTTCGAACGGGAGGCAGGACGCAGGGCCCGGCCCCCGTCCGGGTTCGGGGCTCCCCCCAGGCCCGCGGCTCCGGCCTCACCGTCGAAGACCGCCCGGCTGTACTGGGTGGTGGAGGCCAGCGGCAGGCAGGTGTTGTCGAACTTGTTGCCGTAGTTGCCGATGCTGACCTCGAACTGAATGGCGTCGTCCACATCCTGCAGCATGGAGGCGGAGTAGAAGGCGGCGAAGAGGGAATACTTGCGCCTCCGGAGGTACTTCTGGAAGCAGAGGGGGCGGCCAGAGGGTCACCGGGAGGAGGGAGGGGACACGGGGTGCCGAGGGGCCGCGTGTCTGGCAGGCCCCGGCTGTGGCCGGCGCCCCGTATGAATCCTGGCCAGACGGACGGGTGGCGAACGGTCCAGCGAAGCAGCAGCGCCCGGATTGGGTTACGAACCGAGCAAACTCATTCCAGGCCTGTGTGCTTGGCCACGCGCCCCGAAGAAGGTTACGCCTCCACGGCCATGCTGCTCCCTAATCCAAACCAGCAGCCATGGCACCACCACCCCGAGGAGCCTGGTCTCCTGCCTCTGCTGTGGAGCAGGGCAGAGGCCCTCACCCACGTGCCCTGCCCGGGGCTCTCAGCCCACTGCTCAGCGCCCCCCCCCCCCCCCCCCGCACCAGCCAGCCCTGCAGGATCCACAGGCCGCCATGGGCTTGGGACCAGTGAGTCCCCTGGTCCCCTCAGGACAGCAGGCACAGGGCTGAGGACATGGGAAGCGCTCTATCACAAGGACCCAGGTGACAGCTGAAACCGGTTTGGCTCAGTGGACAGAGCGTCGGCCTGCGGACTGGAAGGTCCCGGGTTCAATTCCGGTCAAGGGCATGTACCTGGGTTACGGGCACATCCCCAGTAGAGGGTGTGCAAGAGGCAGCTGATGGATGATTCCCTCTCATCGATGTTTCTATCTCTCTATCCCTCTCTCTTCCTCTCTGTAAACAATCAATAAAATACATTTAAAAAAAAAATAGAACCACGGTGACTGTGGCAGCCCCCTTCGTGGGAGGCAGAGAGATGAGGGCCCCACGGGTGGGTTTGGATCATGTAAACAGTGGGAACAGCCAACCCTGGTTGAGGGCTTCCTGCGGTGGGTGTGAATTAGATCCTCACCGCACCCTGACGGGGTGAATGTCATGATCACCCCCATTTCACAGACGGGGGAACTAAGGCCGCTGGCAGGCGGTCAGGCCAGGACGGAAGCAAGCGTCCGCTGACGACAGAGCCTGACCGGGCAGACTCCACACCGCTGCCTCTCAGACACAAGGCCCAGCTCTCCCCCTCGTTGTTCCGATTCACTGGAGCCTCAGTTTCCTCATCTGTGAAATGGGGGTGCTCATGGCAGTCATCTCGTGGGCGCCGGGAGGACTCGGGGACATCGGAGGGTCGCCAGCACAGTGTCTGACACACGGTGAGGGCTTCACACGTATGAGCTATTCTTACATCGCTGTCACCAAAAAGCCTCTCGCTTCGTATGGAGCTTAGACTTTTAAAATGCTTTCCTTCGCCGAAACCGGTTTGGCGCGGTGGATAGAGCATCTGCCTGCAGACTGAGAGGTCCCGGGTTCGATTCCTGTCAAGGGCATGTAGGGGGTGTGCAAGAGGCAGCTGATCCATGTTTCTCTCTCATCGATGTTTCTCTCTCCCTTCCTCTCTGTAAAAATCAATAAAATAAATTTAAAAATAAAAAAATAAAATGCTTTCCTTCATCTTTTCTGAGTCTCTGAACATTCCTCGGGGAGGCAGGATAGCTAGAGGGTTACTCCCACTTCCCAGCGGAGGCACGGAGGCCCAGAGCGGTGAAGGCCTGTGAGCATGGGTGGAGCCGAGCCTTCCTCCACCTCCCGGCCAGCCCCCCTCACGCCTCACCTCCACCCGGAGAATGTCGTCTGCGGGGAGGTCCTCCACCTTCTGCTCGCAGTGCTCCACCAGCTTGGTCTCCAAGGACAGCAGCACCCGGCCTCGGTAGGCCACGCCTTCCCCCTGAGAGCGGAGGGGGGTCACTAGGAGCAGGGGCGAGGAGAGGAGGAGGAGGAAAGCGGCCTGATCTGGCCCTCAGGCTGCTCTTTCCCAGGCACCAAGGAGGCCCCTGAGCCGCCCCGAGAGCCCGGGTGACAGACCCGGCCTCCCGGATGGTCAGGACCAGACTCCAACCCAGCCAGAGGGGAGGTGAAGCCTAGACAGATTTGGGGCAACGGGGTGGAGGGGGGGCGGGGAGAAAGTGGGGCGTCAGGCTGGCCCTGAAGGAGAGCAAAAGCGAGGGGAGTGGGAGGGAGGAAGGGGCCAGGATGGAGCCAGGCAGGAGGAGGGCTACTTGCAGTCCAGGTGGCCCCGGTACGGCCAGGCCAGGCGGAAGACCTGGGCATCTAGGGAGTGTGGGGTCTGGCGGACTCACCCTGCCCATGTTGAGCTCTGCATAAGGGTCTGGGAAGCCGGTGAACTCCCTGGGGCTGCCGTAGAGGTTGATGTAGCAGGGCCCAAAGGTGGGCAGGAAGCCCAGATGGTCGTCCGCTGGGGGGGGGGGGGGGGGGAGACAGGCAGGGTCAGCCCACCCCTGGCCTCAGTTCCCACCCCTGGCCTCAGTTCTCACACAGGTCTGGGGAGTGGTGACAGGGACGAGAGCGCCATGGACTCTTCGGCGTCCCTCTCACCCTTACCACCAGGCCCAGGTGTGGACATGTGAGTTATTTCTATGACCTCGTTTTATAGACGAGGAAACTGAGGCCCGGGGACGCAAAAGAGCCGGTGACTCCAAGGTGGCATGACCCAGAAGGGTCTGAGCTCAAGGTCCATGCATCAAGCCAGCACGTAAATCTGGGGCCAGGGTGCTCCCCTGCCCCCCTCTCAGGCCACCCCCATCCTTCAGCACCTCCCCCACCCATACCTGAGAGAGGGAGGCACAAAGGAAGCCCCAGAACCTCAGGAGTGGAGAGGCCATCTCCCAGGGCACCAAGGAGCAGAGCGGGCCCAGCCAGATCTCACAAGCAGCCCCTGGGCACATGCCTCTCGGCCCCTGACACAGACCCTAAGGGCCCAGGCAGCCCCTCCCGCTCCCTCACTGTGCACACTACCGCCTCCCGGAGGAGCGTTAGGAGAACTGCACTAACGTCAGGGGAAAGCTCGTCTCAGCATCCTTTCTGGGGCCCTCGTCTGCTCCTGTCATCACTTTCCAGCTGGCAGCCGGACCTCCCTGGCTGTACCCTGGGGGTGTTGGGGGTGGAAGCTGGGGTCGGGGAGGGGGGACAAGAGCTACCTGGGGTGCTCCAGTCCGTACAAGGAGTAAGGGGGGCACAAAACAAATGGCCTCGGCCATGAAGGGCTGGAGCCAGACCTGAGCTGTGATCCCCGAATCCCAGCCAGGGGTGAGACGCTGGTGGGGGCACAGGCTGGGGGCAGGGACGGGGGCTTGAGAAATAAGGAATTCCTGACCAGAAGGCAGGAACAGCATGCCTCCCCCCGAGCCAAGGGCCACCCTGTGTCCACCTCCACGCTCCCTCCCGTCGGCACAGACAGGGCTCCGGCACGGGGACAGGGGTGGGAGGCCCAGGCGATGGAGCACGAGCACGGCAGAGTGTTTGTAACCATCGTCTCAACGAGGAGCTCCCTTTCAGATTTCAACTTCGAGAGTTCTCAGCTCACCCTGTCCTCCTCCTGGTCCCCAAGATGCCCCCTTCCCCGCCAGGGACACCTGTGCGGGCCCCACCTCCTCCCTGCTGAGAGAGTGGGTTCATTTGAGCATCAGCAGATTTGAGAGGGGGTTTAGGGAGTGGGAGGTAACTGCCTTTACAGCAATTCATGTATTCAATCAAAATTGAGAGGTACAGCCGAAACTAGTTTGGCTCAATGGATAGAGCGTCTGCTTGGGGACTGAAGGGACCCGGCTTCGATTCCGGTCAAGGGCATGTACCTTGGTTGCGGGCACATCCCCGGTAGGGAGTGTGCAAGAGGCAGCTGATCGACGACTCTCTCTTATCGATGTTTCTAGCTCTCTATCTCTCTCCCTTCCTCTCTGTACAAAATCAGTAAAATATTTTTTTTTAATTGAGAGGTACAGTCAAAGAAAAACTAGGGGACCCTGGTGGAGAACCTCAGGCCCACGTCAGGCAAGTCAAAACTTCCCGGCAAGCAGCACCCTCCTCCCTCCAGCGGAGGCCCCAGGCCCACCCTCCTTTCCCCACAGCACGTACTGTCCGAGGCTGGAGGAGGCTTGGCCACACCTGCGGGGTCCTCTGAAGCGTAAAGAAATGGAAAAGGGGTTAGGATGGGCATGGCTCGGAGGAAGTCTGGTTACGTGAACGGGGATGTGGATGGAGAGCCGGCCGGCAGACAGACAGAGGGAAAGACAGCTCCCGTGTGGGAAACAGATATGGCCCAGCCCTGCTGTGAATTTATCACCAACTAAGTCATCAAGGAGCCCTCCTGCCCCCAACACAAGCCAAACACAGCCCCCAGCACCCTGGGGAGCCCTCAGGTCCCTCCCCGCTGGTGTCTGCCTGCACGTCTGTGTGCTCTGTTTGCCAGTTGAAAAATTGGACCCAAAACTTGACTCAATACATTCGAGAAATAACACAGAGAAGAAAATGTGCTTTTCCACATTATAGCCAGAAAAGTGAGGGAAACAAAGTACAGACACAAAGAAAGGGTGGGGGAAGCACGAAAGGGCCAGAGCCAGGCAGCCAGGCACACCCAGTGCTCCACCCAACAGGCAGGTTGACACCGGGGACCCAGCTCCCCACGATGCAGCATTTCAAGGCACAACATCTCCATCTAGTGGCCATTCTTAGTATTGCCACTTAGGGCACGGTGTTGCATTTTCACAACAGCAGACACTTGGGATCTGGCTTCGCGCACCTGCCTCTGCAAGTGAAACACACTGACAGACACTGTCCATTAGCTAAAGGTTCCCCTCATTTGGGCATGGCCCTCAATGCTGGCCAGGGGTGTATAGAAATAAAAGGAGCAGGGAAGGAGATGCTCTGGCAAACTTCCAGGTTCTTGGAATCCATCCCTCACGTCTAGGCAATTATTAGATGCCCCCAAAAGAGTGAGCGCCCCTCAGTCACCTTCCATGGTCTCCTCTGATGTTTGCCCTTTCCCATGCTCCTCCTCCAATCAGCTAAGTCAGTAGTCAGCAAACTCATTAATCCACAGAGCCCAATGTCAACAGTACAATGAATGAAATTTCTTTTGAGAGCCAAATGTTTTAAACTTAAACTTCTTCTAATGCCACTTCTTCAAAATAGATTCGCCCCGGCCGTGGTATTTTGTGGAAGAGCCACACTCAAGGGGCCAAAGAGCCGCATGTGGCTCGAGAGCCGCGGTTTGCCGGCCACGGAGCTAAGGGTAACTTAGTTTGAGGTCATGGCCAAGCCTGGGGATGTGGATGGTGAAATTGTGATTATTCTCCTTCACTGGTCACCCTTCCCTATTGCTCTCCTTAAGAAAAATAATGCCTATGACTGTTTTCCCATGGCGCCATGACTGCAGGTAAGAGCCAAGCGTTCAGCAAAAAGTTGTGGAAGAAGAATGAGCAGACACACAGAGAGAGGGTGTGTGGAGAAGAGGGGAGTCTGGAAGTGTGGACCCAAGGACAGGGCTGACCTCTGAGCACAGAAGGCAGCCAGCAGGGCGAGGCCGAGCTTCAGAGGGCGTGGGACCCAGCCCCTCAGCTCTCCCAGCCAGGCCTCAGCTAGGAATACCGCCTGGCACAAGTCAGCTGCAGAAACCACAGTTTATGGCCATGTCCACATCCACAGGCATGGGTTCTTGTCATCAGGGAAGCTTCCAGCAAAAGCGAGAGGACCCACAGGGACCCAGCTGGAGCCCCAAGGAGACCAGTGGCCAGACACACACACACACACACACACACACACACACACCACCCACCCACCCCCACCCCCGCCTGGAGCAAATAGATTCCGTTTTAAGCTCCTTCCAAAGGATCACAAACAGGCCTAGCCAGTTATCTAGGGCTAATAAGGCCACTAACAAGGCCTCGGTCATACTTCCAAACTCCATGTGCTGAGAGCAGAGACAAACTTGCCTTCCCACCCATAGACTGACTCTGGATCCTGCCTGCAAACCAGTGCCCAGCCCAGACATAACTGTCCCCTAAACTAAGGTGACCAGACATCCCACTTTGGACGGGACAGTCCCGATTTTTAACAATTTGTCGGGACTTTTTTAAAATGACGCGGGACGCGGGACAAATTGTTAAAAATCGGGACTGTCCCACCAAAAGCGTGATATCTAGTCACCTTACCCTAAGCCCACCAGCCCGTGGCTGGGAGGACCCAGAGGGAGGCTGCAGAGTAGCCTGTTTCCCAACGGAACCTTTCACCAATTCCTCCATCCATTCGTGTGTTTGTTCAGCAGACCAGCCCAGGCACAGCGCTGGGCACTAGTAGGACAAAGCCCTGCTGACAGGGCTAGTGATTCCTAACTTGGGGGCAGGATGCTAGGGCTCCGGGGGGTTGAGGACCACACCAGGGCCTCCCCCCTGTGCCTGCCGACAGCTCATAAAGTCAAGGGCAGAGTGGCCAGGGAAGGTGCCCAAGACAATGCCTCTATTGAGTCCTCACCACCCTTCTGCCAAAACACCAAGGGTTCCAGCGTGTTTTCCCTCTTTTCCCGGACCAAGGAAGCCCCAGAACACGGAAGAACACTCCCAGTTTTGTGGCCCGAGCAGCCAAGTCCAACTCTCTCACCTGGGGAAGCACAGGGGGACCAGAGCAGGCCCTCCCAGCCCAACGAGCCACACATCACAGCCCCGGGGGCGCCGTGACTGCTGGAGACGCTGAGGCACACCCCACACACCCACGGTTTGGCTGCCTGACGCCAGCCTGTGCCAGGCAGGAGGAGACACGGAGAACTGCTGGGAAATAGTTATCATCTACGTCCCAAAGACAAAAGGAAAGGAACTTCGGATTTCCTCGCTGTGGAAAAACTGTAGGATACAAGTGCTCGTTACGTAGCCTGGGTTTTCCTATGTATAACATTGTAAGAGAATCTCTGTAGGTTTCACGGGTCTCGTGCGTCCGTTCCCTTTGAAAAGAACTGCAGCTGCCCTGGCCGGTTTGGCTCAGTGGGTAGAGCGTCATGAGCCTGCGGACTGAAGGGTCCCAGGTTCGATTCCAGTCAAGGGCATGCACCTTGGTTGTGGGCACATCCCCAGGAGGGGGGTGTGCAAGAGGAAGCTGATTGATGTTTCTGGCTCTCTATCCCTCTCCCTTCCTCTCTGTAAAAAAAAAAATCAATAAAATAAAAAATAAAAAAGAACTGCACTCTTTTTCAGAAAACAAAATTTTTACTAAGTGCAGGATCCAAGGAACACTGCGGTGTGCCAGGCAAACTTGTGGGCTTAGAGGCTACTGTTAGGTCCTGTCCTCTCTGGGAATAAACACGAAAACAAAAACTCCTGGTTGGACCAAATCAATCTGGTGAACCATAAGGCAGGGAATACAGAGAAAGAGCCGTTTTCACCGCCCAGTTCAGTGTGGGTTTTGAGAGCAGTGGCAACATAAAGCACCGTACGGTGCCGTGCCATAAGCCCCCCACGGCGAAGGGAAGCACAGAGAGCCGAACAGAAAGGTGCGGTGGCACCTTCTGACACGTGGGAGGAGGTTGGCAGGGAGCGAGGCAAGTGCGAGCCTCCAGGGCCTGGGCACGGGCCGTCCCTGCGGGAAGGGGCACCAGAGCAGCCGGGCAGAGGGATCCGGCGTGAGCAGCAGGTGTAACCCCTTTACTGTTACAGAGATCGAGCTATTGAACAGCTCCCAGGAAGCGGGGGGGCTGCTTGCGGGAAGATTCTCCTTTAATTCCAAAACCATCTGTGGGCACCGGTGGTCAGCCTTTGAACACCTCCCTGAACCACACAGGATTGCCCGGGGCCTGAGCGCCATCTAGTGGCCACGTCGGCATCTTTCTCCGGTTTCCATCAAAATAGTCACCATAACCCTGAAAAAAGGTCAAGGCCATTGTCACCTCCAGAAGGAAGCCTGCTGGGAGCCAGGGACCTACATACACCATGGAATACTATGCAGCTGTAACAAAAAAAAAGGATCTCTTACCCTTTGAGACAGCATGGAGGGACCTGGAGAGTATTATGCTAAGCAAAGTAAGCCAGTCAGAGAAAGACAAGAGTCATATGATCTCACTCACATGTGGAGTCTAATGAACAAAGTAAACTGTTGAACAAAATAGGTCTAGAGACAAAATAGGTCATAAAAGCATGGAGCAGACTGCAGAATCTCAGCGGTGGGTGGTGGATGGTGGAAAGAGATCAACCAAAAACGTGTATGCATATATGCATAACCCATGGACATGGACACGGACAACAGGGTGGTAGCAGGAGGCAGGGGCAGGCTAGAAGGGGTTAATGAGGGGAAAGGGGGATATATGTAATACTTTTTAACAATATGTTTTAAAAGAAAACAAACCCAAAAAACACATCTAGTAATTTAGTAAGGGATACAGGTGGTATTTCCAAATGTAGGGAAAAGACTATTCAATATACAGTATAGTGTTGGCATCACCAAAGGACGATTTTGAAAAAAAAAAATAATGTTAGCTCCTTGCCTTATACACTAAGGAAAAATATTTGGCTACATAAAATTTTTAAATTTCTGTTCATTGATAATTATTAAATGGTAACATAAAGCTGACAAAAATTAATCCAAATCAATGATAGGAGAAAGTTAACATCCATACACATACAGAACTCTTATAAAACAATGAGAAAAAGACAAACATACCACCAGAAATTTGGACAAGAACATATGAGCATACAATTTATAACAGGATATAATAAAGTATATAAATATATTTCAATATTAAAATATTTTTAAATTTGCCCCGACCGGTGTAGCTCAGTGGTTGAGTATCGACCTATGAACCAGGAGGTCACGGTTCGATTCTCCTGGTTGTGGGCTCAATCTCCAGTGTGGGGCATGCAGGAGGCAGTCAATCAACGATTATCTGTCATCAATGAATCAATGATGTTTCTATCTCTCCCTCTCCCTTCCTCTCTGAAATCAATAAAAAATAAATAAATAAATAAAATATAAATAAAATATTTTTAAATCTGCATTGGTCAATTTCATCAGTTTTCAATGAAATGAAAACCAAGCCCACAATGAAATTCACCCATCAAACTAACAAAGTTCTGTTTTAATTTCATTATTTTGCTCTGTGTTGGTGAAGGTGCAGAAAAAAAAAAAAGTCTGCAAGTGATTAGAAGGTAAATCAGTCCAATCTTTTTGAAAGGCAATTTTTATATATACCAAAAGCTTCAGAATGTTCAAATCCTTCGACACAGCAATTCCACTGCTCACTGCTAGGCATTCCTCCAAAAGGAAAATTGTGAATTGAATAAAGAGTCAGCTACAAAAATATTCAATAGAAAGTTAGTTGTTTATAATGTGGAAAAATTAGAAAATACCTAAACAATTCACCACTAGCTAGTTAACATGGATTTTGGTACATTCCTATGTGGAACATGTGTATCCATTTAGAATTCTATTGTAGAAGAATATTTAATAACAAAAATAAACATCTATGCTGTATTGCCAAGTGATAGAAAGCAATGTTCAAAACAACTAAATTTTTTTTCAAAACAATGTTTATCATGTACATAGGTACATGCATGTGCATGTGTGTGTGTATATATACATGCATGTATGTGTGCGTGCATACATACATACATATAGAAAGGTTCCAGAATACCAAGTTAGTTCTTGTCTGGATAGAGGGTAAGCTGGATACAAGGTAGGCTTATGGGTAATTTCATGGGTAAATGTTATAATCTTCTTTCAGATGGTTTCTTTAACATTTTGCAAAATGACCATGGACTACTTTTTCACAGACCAATGAAACATATTTCAAAAGAGACGCTGTGAGCGCACAATCGGCCAATACTGAACCCTTGGGTGGTGCCGCCCCCATGTTATCTGCAGGAGGGAACTGTCCTCTCTCCCATCGGAAGTGCATCGCCCCCTGCGGGTGGAGTATCCTAAGTGTCCATAAGCCCATCTCTCATTGGTCAGAACTTGGGAAATGGACAGAAAAGACTTAAAAGACTTTTCTGCAAACTCTCAAAACTATAATAGAGGTGTAAGATGGGCAGGGTGGGATGAGGGAGAGCACGGCGTACAAGAGGGCCGAACAGAGCGGGGAGCTTACCTTCTATTTCTCCTCCGGGAGCAGAGATCTTGGACAAACTCAGGTAGGTGGTGGCCACGATGTCATTGTGGGTCAGGCGGTCCCTAGAGCAGGGGACAGAGAGGGCCTGAAGAGGGGGAGACTGAGGACACAGCCCACCCAGCAGGAAATGGCTTTGGCTGTCCATGGTGAGGGGTCCCAGGCCTCACACTGGATAGTTCACTGGGGGCTGGTAATCCCAGGGAGGAAGGAACTGGGAATGAAGTGCTGCCCAAGCCTCCTGAAGTGAACACTAGTCCATTCCACAGCCATCAGCACCATTAGCTAGCCAGCACCGGGCTGCCGCCTGGATGGCCGTGGGGACACTTCAGGTGACAGGGAGGCTGCTCAGAGAGCCACACCCCCGGACCCTGGGAGGGCCAGGCGCCAGGAGCTCAAGAAATATCCAGACCCAGGAAAAAAGCCAAGTAACCGGCAAGACACTACCTCCAAGACCACGGTCTTAAATTAGCCAATTTAAGACCGTGCACTATTCCTTTTTGTGCTTTGGGGAGACGGGAGATTTGAATATATTTTTATTGATTTCAGAGAGGAAAGGAGGAGGAGAGAGAAAAAAAAAAAACATAATGATGAGAGAGAATCATTGATCAGCTGCCTCCTGCACACTCTACACTGGGGATCGAGCCCACAGCCCAGGCATGTGCCCTGACTGGGAATCAAACTGTAACCTCCTAGTTCAATGTCGCTGCTCAACCACCAAGCCACGTGGGCTGGACCACTCTGTGACAACACACTTTTAACCTCCTTTATCCCTCAGGATCCTCACAATGGCCTTCAAACTGAGACTTAGAACCAGGAAGGTCCTTGTCCAAGGTCAGCCTGGGAAGGAAGGGCAGAGCCAGAACCCAGGCCTGATGTCCTGCCTCCTGCTCAGCGTGCCGTGGGGGCCTGTCCTGCTTCCCAGGAGGGAGCTTCTCTCCTCCCAACCAGCACAGGGGACGGTGGTGCGAGTTCCAGAAGACTTACTGATTGGTGAACCCATGAGCCACCATGTCCTGTGCAGACCCACACCTGCCCCTTTGGGGAGAACACAGAGTAATAGCTGGTATTTGCGGAGCACCTGCTGAAAGCCAGGCACTTGCTAACGCCCTCCCGGGCCCCAGCTCACGTCCGCACAGCAGCCCTATGAGGTAGGAATACAGTCAGCTCCAACCTCAGGTGAGAAAGCTGAGGTTTAGAAGATCAAGTCATTTGTCAAGATGGCAAAGCTGGCATTGGCGCGGGCTATGCCCGACATTTGATTACAGCAGCCTGCTGCTCCCCCGTCAGGCCACGCCAGGGTCTCTCCATCCGGTGATGTGGACCCCCAGGGGACACTTGGCAATGTCTGAGGCGTTTTTGGGTTTGGAGGGAAGGCTGTGGAGAGAGGCCCCGGTAGCTGCTAACCATCCCGCAATGCATGATAGAGTCTCCCACATAAAGGAGTTTTCTGGCCCAAATATCCTCATGCTAAGGCTGAGGAACGCAGAGCTGAGCAAGAGATCTCTCCTTCTGGAAGTTTCCAGGGTGCATTTTTCCTGAGTTTGGTTTGTTTTTTTAATGTCTGTGGCCTGAGGCCCTCTCTCCCAGCTTCCCGTCCTGTGGCCCCGGGCGCTTCAGGAGATGATACCCAGTCCCTGTGACAGACACCTGGGCCTGGTGACTCTTTCCTCTTTTCAACCTAAACCCCATCCGGCGGCTCCCTTCCTTCCTCTTCATATTTCCCGGGAGGGGATTCAGCTTGGTTCTAACTTTTTCCACCAGGGCGGCAGCTACACTAGGAAGAGTGGATTGTCAGCACTAATCTTTTTTTTCTTTCTTTCTTTCTTTTTTTTAATATATTTTATTGATTTTTTACAGAGAGGAAGGGAGAAGGATAGAGAGCTAGAAACATCGATGAGAGAGAGTCATCCATCAGCTGCCTCCTGCACACCCCCTACTGGGGATGTACCCGCAACCAAGGTACATGCTCTTGACCGGAATCAAACCAGGGACCCCTCAGTCCGCAGGCCAACGCTCTATCCACTGAGCCAAACCAACCAGGGCTAATCTTTATCATTTCTCCCCGTGAACAATGCTGACACGACCTGGAAAGTTAAAGCTCCCTTTGTACAATGGGATTATTGACACCAGATCACCGACAGAGAGTCGGGGGCGCTTTTAAACTGCCGCCATGACCAGTCCGGCACGTGGAGGGGAACTGTGGTCTTACCTGACCCTGCTGAGGAGGCGAAGGGAACGGGAAGAGAAGTTTTGTTTTTAAGGGGGCCGGAGTCGGGTAATTTGGGGGGGATGGGTATTTTTTAATGAAAAAGAAATTCTTAAAGAATCAGACTGATTAATTTGCCTCTCAGCATAACCATTATGGCTTGTCTCAGTTTCGGTTTCTATAAGGGAATTACTTGTATCACATGATCTACCACATCTAGGGGAAATAATGAACAACATAAATGGATGAACAGAAACAAACCCAGAGACAGAAAAGCACCGATCAGAAGGAAGGTAGGGGAGGGTGGGGGAAAGGGGGTGAGATCCACCAAAGGACTTGTGTGCATGCATATAAGCCTAACCAGTGGTCATGGACAACGGGGGGGCGGGCAGGGGGGCCGAGGGCATACGTGGGGAGGGGTTTGGTTGGGATGGGAATGGGGGGATGAGGACAATTATGTGATACCATAATCAATAAAGAAATTTTTTTTTAAAGAATGGAATGGAAGTTTACGTTACAGAGAAAAGGCCATATGGACTAGATCATATTTCCAGGACTCAGGTAGGAACACAAGTCGATCTGCATTTTCTGGGAAGAAAGCACTGCTCTGGGTAGGAACTTACAACAGCAGAATGCTTTTCTGGCCAGAAGTTGGGTTTTGGGGGCTTGGGGTTGCTTTTGGAAAATACAGCAAGTCTGAAAATAGACTCACAATAAAAATGCCGCTCCAACCCAAACCAGAAACGCAACCACCAGATTCCGTAATGCGTTTGGATTGTGCAGTATGCCGACGCCTTCGACACAGCTCACGGGGGCCCAGGCAGGGCCTGTGCCCACGCACACGGGGCCACCGTCCCACGGACACCCACGCACACATGCATCCGCACGCATAGACACAGGCATTCACACGCACGGCCGTGCACAGCCCATCGCCCCAGGCAACCCAACGCACACACATGCGCATACGTGCTGCAAGCAAAGATGAAGAGATCATCTGTGGACATAAAGCACGTCTCTCCCCCCAAACCGCTTCCCCACGGAACATACCCGCGGTCAGGGCCCCCGAGGCCTCTCCCTCCCCGCCTTCCTGGCTGCTCCCTTCCTCGCCTCTAATTCTCACAAGCTGTTTGCTTTGGGCCCGGGGAACTGGCACGCCACGGTAATGGCTCTGTGGCCTGGGGGTTTTCCCCGGTCTCTCATTATCCTCCTGCGGGGGGTGCCCTGGGCCCAAGACCAAAGGACAACACACTGGGAACCGCACGGCCGAGGCTTCTGGGGGCAGAGAAAGGACACGCTCTCCCTTTGCAAAGGCTGGTGGATGGGAGGCCCTGGAGATCAGGGTACGGACCTCGAAGGGCCCTCGGGCATGGCAGGGACCCCCTCCACACCAGCAGGAAGCAGCACACGCTGGGTAAGCGTGGGCTTTGGGAGCAGCCTGGCCTCAGCGGCTCTCAGCTGTCACCTAGAGCAGATTACTCAATCTCTGCCAGCCTTCCTCCTACCCTGTAAAGAAGGAGTCAAGCCCCAGCTGGTTTGGCTCAGTGGACAGAGCATCAGTCCACAGACTGAAGGGTCCCAGGTTCGATTCTAGGCCATGGCCGTACCTCAGTTGCCGGCCCAATCCCTGGCCCTGCTCAGGGCACGTGCGGGAGGCAACCGATTGATGTGTCTCTCTCACATCGATGTTCCTCTCTTGGCCCTTCCCCCTCCCTTCCACTCTCTCTAAAACTGGGGGAAATACCCTCGGGTGAGGATGAACACAAAACAAAGGGAGTCAAGCTGAAGGTCAGGTGAGACTGTGCGTGTAAAGTGTTTGCTGGGCACGGCCTGGCCGATGGATAGTAGGTGCTCAGCAAGTGATGGATGCTATTCCTTTTCCAACGGGCCCATGCGGCTACTGCCCTCACCTGCTGCAGGCCCCAGAGGCACCCCCTGCTTGGACAACCCTGACCCTTCTCAGCACGGGGCCCTCCCACCCCATTCTACCTGCCCAGGGGCCATCGCAGCCTATCCCCCCAGAAGCTCTGCTGTTTCAGCCTCCTTGCCTTCGCTTATGATCCCCTCTTCACTGAACACCCTCATCAAAACCCCTCCTCCTCAAGGAAGCCTTCCTGTCCACTCCTGACCTCCGGGATCTTAGGCTCCTGGAGTCCTCCCAGCCCTACCTGGCCACCCTCCTATCTGCCTCTGAGCAGGGCTACGAGTAAGCTTCCCAAGAATGGCCCACAGCCCCCTCTGCTCCTCTGCCTGCCCCAGAGGAGACCAGGTCACCCAAAACACACATCCCATTGCGTGCAGATTGAACTGAAGGACCCAGTGACCCCTGAACACAGCCACTCTGAGGACAGCTCCCTCTAAGGACTGCAGCACAGAACTCACCAGTCCATGATACGAATCCTCATTTTCTCACACATCGAGGGAAACTACAGAGAGAAGAGACACATGTTGGTGTGGAGTCCTTTTGAAGAACCAGGAGGCTGGGGTGCGGGTAGGATGCTGGGGAGGCCAGGAGCCGGGGGCCCCCGGGTGGGCCCACGAGGGCCGAGGCTCACCATGGCAGGCACCGTGATGCTCTGGTTCCACTGCGGGTTGGCCGTCTTCTCCAGGATTTTGCTGCAGAGCTGGAAGACACAGAGGTGGGTGGAACTCTGAGGGGACTCCGGACTCCCTTGGGGACCACCAGCCCAGCCAGCAGCCATTCTCTGTCATACTGGGCAGAAGGCCTGTGTAGTGGGCTCAGACACAGGGAATCTTTGCAGAGACAAAGCTCCATGGTAGGTCACACCCAGGTCTGGGGAATAGATTGCCAGAATGCCTCAACCCTTCACTCCCCTACCTCCCATTATGGTCATAACCCTGACTGTGAGGCCCCTGAGTCCAGCCTGGCTTTCCCACGGGCCCATCACCTGCCCCTTTGGAGGACTGTGAGTCTTAGGAGTTTAGAGTTGGGGGAGGGGGTGGAGAAGGGGATAAGAGAGTTGAAGGGCCAAGCCAGGGCCACGCACCAGCATCTGAGAGTGAGAAGGAAATTAGGCGAATATACACACCCCATAAGCCACAGTCTGCCTCACAGTAAGCCCTGCTCTTAAGACCTGGCTTTCCATAAACAAGAAACACAGCGGAGTGGAAATCAGACCCAAACATTAGCTCCAGAGTTCTGCTCTGCTCTGTCCTTGGTTCCCTGAGGCAGCACCAGGCCCCTCAGCCAGCTCAGGGCATCCTGTGTCCACATGGGGATTGATTTCAGAGCTATAGATCCTGGTAGGTTTGCATGTTCTAACAGTAATAGTTTGCATGTTCATAGTAAAATGCTTTTTTAGAGCATGTACTATGGGCCCTGCAGTGCGTGAGCATTTTACACGCATTATCTCCTTTAGCTGACCTAGATTCGGGGTTTTGGTCCCTTCATGTGACGATGGTGCAGTCAAGACCACCTCTATCCTTAGTTCCACAGTGCCAGCCCCTGTCCCCACCCTCTCACCTCCCAGTGAGAGGAGCCCAGGCTGAGGCTGGGCAGGGATGGGTACCGGGATCCGGCCCTGTGTGATCAAAAGAAAAGAAGAGAGCCCGACCATCTGGCAAACAATAGGCAGCGTGTGACACAGTTCTCAGGAATGGGTTCGCACGGGGTTGTAAAGCACAAAAAAGATGTCCAACCTCCCTTGTGATGCAAGAAGCACAAATGAACTACCGTTTCTCATCCATCGGATTTGTTTTGTAAAAATCCCTAACGCCTGGCAGTCTTCTCCTGGCAGGGCTTTGAGGGAAGCTCAACCACCACAGAAGGCAATCGGCTACGATCAAAATCACAAATGCAAACACCCTCCTGCCTACCAGTGCTACTGCTAGCCGTTTATCCCAGAGAAACACCTGCACATGTTCAGAAAGACATCCGTATGAGGTAATTCACAGCCATATGGCTTCTACCGGCGAACATGTGAAATAGCGCATGTTAAAGGACTGATGGACTAAATGATGGCCCATCCCCACGATAGCGTACCGTGCCGCTCTAAAAAGAACGAGGGCTGCTCTGTGTTACCAAACAACCTCCAAGTTATCTTACTAGCTGAAAAGCTAAGTACTGGGGATGTCACATGTAAAACGTAGACTATAGTTAACACTGCTAAATGGCTCAATGGTTAGGTGAGTAGATCGTAAGGATTCTCATCACAAGGGGGGGAAAGCATTGTTTTCATTGGCAGGTCTCTATATAAGATGATGGATGTCAACTAAACTTATATACATCATTTCAAAATGTAAATCACGTCATTATGCTGTATGCCTCAAATTTATACGGTTCTGTGGTTATATCTCAATAAAATGGGAAGCGGGAATTAAAAAGCAAGGGGCGGGACAGTATAATGTGCAAACGTTTGTATAAAAGGGGTAAAAGCTAAGAATTTATGGTCAGATGTGCTTGCATTTGCAGAATAAAGCCAGAATGATGGGAGGGAGCTAACTTCAGTGCTCTCACCTGCAGGGGAGGGAAGAAATGCCGGACTGTCGGGTGAGGGCTGAGCGAGAAGGAAAACTTTCATGATGGATGATAGAGATAGATAGATGATAGATTAGATAGATAGATAGATAGATAGATAGATAGATAGATAGATAGATAGATAGATAGATAGATAGAATAGGTAGATAGATTATAGATAGATAGATAGATAGATAGATAGATAGATAGATAGATAGATAGATGATAGATAATAAAGATAGATGATGGATGATAGATAGGATAGGTAGATAGATGATTGATAGAAAGGTAGATAGATAGGATAGGTAGGTAGATATATGGTAGATAGATGGTAGATGATGGATGGATGGATAGATAAATAGAATAGGTAGATAGATGATAGATAGATAGATAGATAGATAGACAGATGATAGATGATAAAGACAGATAACAGATGGATGAATAGATAGATGTAATAAATGTACTACCTAATTTAAAAATTAGATGAACAAAATTTTAAAAGGAAAAGGACTCTCTAACCAGACACAGCTGAGAGACCTGCCAGCATGATGCCTCAGCTTCCTGGAGCAAGAAGGCTCCCCATCTCCCGGGAGCGATGCAGGAAGTGCCAGACTTCCACCACGTGAAGGGAAGCAATTCCACGCCCTGCCCTGGCTGCCATGGGATAACAGCTGGTCCCCTGGCCACACCCAGGCCAGCTCTGCCTCTGGGCCTTCAGCCCCCAACATCCTTCCCGCACCCTTCCCACTGCCCACACACTCAACGGCAGCACCAAGCTTCTCCTCCTCCTTCGCTCCTCTAAGCCTTTAAAACAAACACAAAACAAAAACCTCTTTTCCTGGATGACGGAGTAATTAGTACAAACGTTCTGGAGGGCTACCTGGCCACCTTTATCAAATACTTAAAAATAAGCCCGCCTTCTGACCCAGGTCTAGAAACCCCTCTATGGAAAAGCAACCAGAGTGGATGAAGATTCCAGTACAATAATTTATCACTGCCTTGTTCATAAAAAAGGAAAATGACAGCAACAAAAATTATCCAAAAATAGGTTAATATTATGTTACATTCATTTAATGGAACAGTACGCAGTCACTAAGAAACTGTTTTCAAAGGCTATTCAGTAACCTAAGGGATGGGAGGTGAGGAAAGCAGTGTGCCAGACGGCACTGGTACAGCTGACTCTCACTGAGGGTGGTAGTCACACGTTCTTTAGTTCACCAAGAACACAGCGTTAGTGCGTGCTGACCCACTGCTCCAGGGAAAATGCTGGGTGAAGCTCCTGCCAGCCTCTGTCACAACGTTTTTTGCCAACTAGTCAATTCATAACTTTGTGTTCGTGTGGTTCTGTTTAATAAATCTTGTTGATTCCTTAACATTGAATTCATGGTCAACAGCACAATCCCTCATGCCAGAATGAAGCGTTTCTAACATAGATTTTCTCCATAAGGCATGTCACAGCCCTCCTGCACTTAGGAACACTGGAAAGCAATTCAGCACTAGCCTGGGACTGTTTTAAACAGTGAAATCGCCAATAAAATGTGGAAAACGTGACACCAAGTAGGACAAGAAGGGACACTTCTTTACAGGCTGAGAGCTGAGATGGGAAGGCAGAGCCTCGGTTGCGTTGTTCCAGCTCGGCTGGTGATGTGCAAGCTGGCCAGCCCCACGTCACCACCACCCGGCACCCCTGCGCAAACGATCGGGAAAGCGCCGTGAGTGCTGGCTCTGCGGGTACAAATACATTTTAGCGAGAAGGTGAACTTGCAAATACAGAATCTGCAAATAATGAAAATCAACTGTAACTGGATCTGATTGTTTTCCAGAGATAGAGTGGGTTTGACGCCAACAGGAGTGAGAACTGCAGAGAGGAAAACATGGCACAAATGTTAACAAGAGCTGTCTGTAAGGTACTGTGGTGTACAGAAATGCAGTTATTCTTTTGTTTGTTTTCCTTGGGTTTCTCTGATTATTTTCATTTTTTTTTTTACAATTAATAAGTTTTATTCTTGCATTTAGAAAAAAAAAATGGTTGTTTTAAAGTTTCCTGCTCTGCCCTCCAAGTATCTACACACACACACACACACACACACACACACACACACATCTCTCTCTATCTCTATCTCTATCGCTATATCTCTCATCTATCTTACTCCCCTAGTAGCTCAGCCAAATCAGGCAAGCTTCACATCTTAGATAATAGTGCCATCAAGTGTCGATAAGAGGAAATGCAGAGTACCCTGCTGAGGTGGATGGGTACACAGAGAGGACAAAACCCCAGGTCGGTTCAAATTAGGCTGTAATTAATGAGAAAAAATGACGCAAGCTGACTGAGAGAGAGAGAGATAGGCAGAATGAGACAGGCAGTGAAGGGAGCAGAGAGTGTGGGGGAGGCTGCGACGAGGTGACAGTGGGGAGAGGGGAGCACAGAGGCCTGGGGGACCCCAGGTTAAAGCTTTCAAGAGGGAAAGTTTCAGCTGGCTCCTCCGTGGTAAGCCCCTTCCTTCCAGAGGGAAAGTGGAGGGTGCAGCTTCTCACACCAGCCTGGCCCCCAATCGGCTTTACCTACACCAGGTTCCCTACCTCCCTCAGACATTTGCACCTGCCTAGAAAAAGAGTCCAGGGCCAGCCGAGGAGAAGACCTAGGGAGATAAAGGTATTGACTGGGACCCAGGAGCAGCCAGGAGCCAAAGACAGGTTGGTCTTGGCTGTAACCATCATCAGAGCATCCTACCATCCCTGGGAATGTGGAATAAAACCATCTCAGGAGTTTCTGATGCATCTAATTGAAAAAACTGGTCCCAATCCTTAGAGGAAGTATCCAGCAAGACTGTCCAGCAAGCCTTCCTGCCTCCTTGCCCCAGTGCTCCTGAAGGCCGGAAGAGGGCATCAGAACCTGACCCCAAGCCCAAACCCAAACTGCACTTGGGTAAGGACCCTGACTGGGAATGAATTTGGAGTCTGAGTTACCTCTCCTACGTACGTTTGCATTGAGACCCTGTGTTAGACGAGAGGTGGAGGAGCCAGCTGGAAGGGGTTCCCAATGGCCAACTTCAGGACGGCTCCTACATCCCCACAAGAATGACTGATTTGAACACATAGAATTGTGGAAATCTGCCATTTGCAATCCCAAGAACATGACTTGTTCAGGCAAAGGAAAGCAGGATATCCACACAGCGCCAAGATATCACCCACAGATTGCCTGCAAACTTCTAAGAGGAACATGCACTTTGACTAGAGAGAGATCTGGAAACACCACCGAAACTAAGTAATCAAACAATCATCACCAACCTTGGGACAAGCTGGCATTATTGCTTCCTGGTGTGATGCTATCTGATGTATGGAACCCCCCCCCATGACACCTTCCTGCCAAAGTATTTCCCCTGAATCTAATCTGGTCTCCAGACCTAACTTCCAGTTCACAGGAAAGACACGGGCCAGGGGAACTAGTCAAACACCAAAAGGAAACAAGACAAATCTGATCATAACAAATGGCCTGGGCTCTTCCAAATGTCAAAGTCACGGGGTGAGAAAAACAGGGTGAGGAGGTGTGAAAGACACTTGTAGGAGAGACTAAGCACACATTTCATTTAGGGGATAATCAGAGAAAAAATTTATATATACTGGTATCTAAGAATATTTTAAAAAATAATTATTAATTTCCTATGTGTGGCAGTAACACAGTCATAGTAGGGAATTTTAACATTAATGGATAGGTCTTCCAGACAGAAAATCAACAAGGAAATGGTGGCACTGACACACTAAAAATTAGGTGGATTTGGGAACGCAGATCCGTCAGCCACTGTGAAAAGCAATATGGAGTTACCTCAGAAAATTAAAAATGGAACTGCCCTATGACTCAGCGATTCCACTTCTGGAAATTTATCTGAAGGAACTTGAAACACTGATTCAAAGGAATAAATGCACCCCTCTGTTCACTGCAGCATTGGGGTAGGGGGTGAGCATCTCTTTAGAGAGAAAGTAAATGCCACAAAATGTTAACAATTGTTTCATCTAAGTGGAGCCCATGTCAGTGAGCAAATGTTCACTAAACCATTATGTCCAAATTTTCTTTAGGCTTTAAAACATTAAATGGAAAAGAAAAAAAAAAAGCTTTGTTTATACATAAGAAAAAACATATGTGTGTGTGTTTTTGGGGGAGAGGGTCAGAAAGGGCACCAGGGTGCACAACATATATATATTCATATTTATATTTATATTTATATTTATATTTATATTTATATTTATTATATATTATATATATTATATATATTATATATATTATATATATTATATATATTGTTTATACATGAGAAAATAAAACTAGAAATATATCTACTGAACATGAACTTTGCATAGTGCCCTATGGGTAATTTTATTTACTTTTTTCTGTATTTTCCGAAATTCCTTGATAGATATGTTCATCAATAACAAAAGCAGATAGTCTGAACATCAGTTAGACGGTGAAGGAAACATGCATATGCAGGGCCTTCCCCTGGTCTGAAGTCACACCCGGACCTCAGCAGTGAGCCTCACCCCACCCCAGGCTCCATCCCCGGACCTCAGGGGTCCTTTGGTGGTGGGATGGGCATGCAGACTCTGTGAGTGACTCTGAGAAGAGATGATATGAAAAGAAAACTGCAAAGTGCTGTGAATGGGAGCCCACACCACTTCCATCGCCACCCTTGCCTTGTAGTGTTTATTATTCACGTTTAAACCTTCTCCAATTGTCCTAAACGCCTGTTGCCTCTGGAGCAAACGGGGCGCCAGCTGCAGGGCCCCGCCCGCCATCCACCTTGCTACGCTGCCCTCTCCTCTGCCCTGTTCCAAGTTCCTATTAATACCCAAGTCACCCGACTCAACCCTCCCTGCCCTGGCAGAACTCTTCGAAAGGCTGGCAGGACCTGGGAAGAGGCTGACCCCAACCTTCAAACTCCCTAAAGCTGGCACAAAGCTTAGCGGCTCCTCTCCCACCCGATATGTCCTTTTTCCACATTCCCAGGCCTTTCCGCCACCGTGTCTGCTCTGAGCTTATGGAGTAAATGAAAGTGGGCTCTTGTTTTCCCACAAGAGAAACAAATTCTAACAAACACGGGAACAGGATGCATATGGCGCCGTGGGGCCTGAACTAGTCCATCAGACCTATGGGGGTTTTGGAAGCTGGACATTTCTTATGTATAAACAAAGCACCTTTTTTGGGGGGGGGGGGGCTGGGGGGGTCAGGAAGGGCACCGGAGTGCACAGGCATGGGCAGAGGTGAGAGGTGTGACCCCGTAGGAAAATGAGAGACAGGCAGGGCAGAGAGAGAGGGCACATGGCTTTGTGTGAGCTGCAGGCAATCTTACAAATGAAGCCACTTTAAACGGAGCCAGGGCTGCCGTGCCAGCAGCCTTGCATGTCTTCGAATATCTCAAACCCTGGAATCTGAAAGCAGGGCAAACTCAACTGGCTGGGCCTAAGCAACCCTGTGCCCCAACACACTCATAACAAACATACATAACAAGAAAGCAGCTATTGTGGCTGCTGGACTGGTAACTGCCAATCTGCGCATGGAAAGCACCATTTGGGATCTGCATCCTCCGCTATGCCATCTGCACCAACAGAAACACCTCTCCCCGTGCCTCTCTCATAAACGCCCCGCACGCCTTTGTCTCCGGATCAGAACATTATTTGGGCTCCCGCCTAAATCAGAGCTTCCCAGTTATTCTTAAACGTTTATTCAAATAAACGTTTGTTTGCCTCTCACTTTGAAAGACCCTTTTAATTTCTAAGTTAATAATATCCACGCAAGGTGCCTCACCCAACTCAGTGCTCCCAGCCAGCCCAATAGGGGCACTCCCACAGAGACTGTGTGGGCCAATGTTGACCATGATTGACTGGGCAGGACCTGGTCAGCCAGGTTACGGATTTTCCACTGTACACACAGGGCTACGTTTTAGAGGAAATATTCTGGTGACTTTCTTTGGGGAGAAGCTGAACATGAGCTATGGGACAGAGAGAAGGGATGGGCCTCAAGACATGTTGGAAGTCAGGGCCATGGGAGGCATAGTTGGTGTAGTAAGGGTTGGAAGGGGGGAAGAACTGACGCAGGCCCACGTTTTCTGCCTTCCATGGCAGTGCCTGGTGAGGAAGGAGGCTCCCAAAAGTGGGCAGGATGAGGCGGAAGATGACTCTTTGGAAGGGCCCAAGAGGCAGTAGATAGAAATGTGCAGAAAGAGCCCTGGAGGCCTGGGGCTGAAGGGAGGGTCAGAGTTAAACAGAGCTGTGGGAGTTCTCCTGTGGAGAAGGGACATTAAAGACTGGGCATGGCCAAGGAGAGCCTGTAGCCTGGGCAAATGCTGGAGGATGGAGCCAGAAGTCAACAGGGACGAGAGCAACAGCCCTGCCTCTGGGCAGGAAGGTGGGCTTTGAGGAAGAGGGGAACGTCAGAGAGATTCAAGGGCCCCCTTCCAAGTGGCCTTTCTCTGCCCAACTCCCACCACGAATTTTTAAAAATAATCACTATGATGTCTTTGGATATTACATATTCTTTAGTTTCCTTATCTTTACGCCTTCATATCTAGTTTTCATTAACTTCTTCATTTCTCTCCAAATAGTCTAGTAGGCACCCACTATCCATCTGGCTGCCCCGTGTCCATCCACAAACATGTGCCCGCCTCAGAGACCCCAGCGCACCCGTCCACCTGGCGTGCACTGCTGCCCAGAGAGCCAGGCCTACGACCAGCCTCACCTGTGCAAACGCACCGCTAATGGGCGTGGCCAAGGGCAGCCCATCCGCACCGCACTCAGTCCCACGCTCCGCCCTCCCTGAGCTTCCTCGCGCTTCTTCGCTCCTTACCGTTCTCCCTGCGAAGCTGACCTCCATGAAGGGATCCACCAAGTTCTTCTTGTTGCTGTCAAAGCCAAAGAGCTGCTTCACGTTGTCCATCACGGCGTCGTCCACTAGAGAGAAGGACACGCTGGTCGCTCACTGCCCACCTGTGCCCCGCCTCCAACACCCCCCTCCCCCCATCCCCACCCCCTCTCCCAGTCTCCAGGTGCTCTTGGCAAAGACAGAGATGCTGAGGCTCCCGCTCAGCCCAGGGTCTCCAGGTGTGAGGGCGCCCAGGAGGGAGGATCCCCCGAAATACTTCCTCACCCAGCCCCCCCACAGCTTGTGCACTACCACCACCAGCCCATCCCCTCGGCATCTTTCAGAACAGGTCCACCAATGGGTGGGTTAGAAATCTACATCAGTGAGAGCAGTAAACTTCCGGAAGAGGACTGGAAGTTGTTAGAATAATATCTCATTATTGGCATCCGTTTGACATTTTTCTTTACATCCATTAGCTCAGTGGTTTACCTAAGGTTAAGCAACAAGTCCATTCTGGGGTTTTTATGAATTTTTAATCTATGTTGCTCCGAATCAATATTTTACTAAATTAGCCATGTTTACATATGAATGTACAGAGAGAGAGAGAGAGAGAGAGATGTGTATTTGTGAATGTAAGCATATGGATGTGTTATCTATAATGTATATGAATGAGAGAGGAGATTGACAGTTCAAGATCATAGTCTCGCTAATATCTACACAACTACAAAAGATAACAACTAACACATATTTATACCCTGTATATTCACCATTTTAATTTATTTACATTTAAATAGCATTGCAGAGAATGAAACATAGAACACCTTCACCTTCAGCAAAGCAAACATTTCCATGTCCCCAAACCCCCTTTGGAATCTCACCCGCTTCCCTCGGCAGAGTTTAACCAGTAAGTGCAAAATGTTTTTAAGCACATCTTGTTTGTTATTGTTGTTAATCTTCCCTGGAGGATATTTTCTCCATTGATTTTAGAGAGAGTGGAAGGGAGGGGGGAGGAGAAAGAAACACATCCATGTAAGAGAGCTACCCACACTCCCCAACCACGTACCTACAACCACGTACGTGCCCTTGACCAGAATCAAACCAAGACCCTTCGGTGTGCAGGCTGATGCTCTAACCACTTAGCATATCAGGCAGTGCTAAGCATGCATTTTAATGACCATTTAATACCCATTACATATTTAAAGACTTTCCCCATGATTTTGGTTCAAATAAACCTTACAGAAGGAACCCATTTCACTTATTGCTGTCATTAGTCAAAGCAGAAACCCTCAATTAGCTTTATGCAACACTTGTAAACAGAGACCCAAGTAGCAAAGGTTCTCACTGACTTATGAGCCACAACTGGTTTATGCCACCAACGCCCGCTCAAAGCAGCGGCTCACAGCCCCCAGAACAGCTGAACCACTTTGGGAGCCTTTAAAAATTACCAATGGGTGGGGGGCAGGCAATGGTAAGGTATGTACACATATAATACCTTAATAAAAAAAAAATGGGGGGGGGGGGGGAATTACCGATGAGGCCCTGGCCAGTGCGTTCAGTGGCTAGAGCATCACCCCGCACACCAAAGTTGTCACAGGTTAAATTCCCCGTCAAGGGAAGGTAGCCGGTGCAGATTTAATCCCCCATCCTCAGGGCACAGGTGGGAGACACCAATCAAGGTGTCTGTCTCATATTCATATTTCTCTTTCTCTCACTCTCCCTCCCTCTCCTTTCCTTCCTTCCACTCTCTCTAAAATCAATGGGAAAATGTCCTCAGGTGAGAACTAGCAAAAACAAACAAACAAATAAATAAAACGGAAAATAAAGACTACCACTGTTTGCACCCTACCCCAAACCGAGTCAATCTGGACCACCAAAGGTGTGGTCCACAGCTCTAGAGCACTCAGTACAGTAACGTCCTCACTTCAGGTCTTCAATAGGCCTGTGCCTTTAAGAGAACCAATATATAATGAAGCCAATCTTACCATAAACTAATTGATGTAAACGAGAGTTGAGTTCGTATGGCATCGCATCAGCATGATAACAAAAGATGTTGAACAAAATGACGTTTGAGGACCTGCTGTCATTCCCCCGCCGTTTACTGAGCACACGGGAAGGGGCCAATACAGAAATAGCCACGGTGAGAAACCAGGCAGTGGCACCCTGGCCTTCCTGGGAGGAGGAGGACACGGCCACATAAGGCGGCCCACCGCTCCAGTGCCAGAGACCAAGCGGTTCCCGGGACCTGGGACTTTCAGGGCTAAACCAGGACAGTCAGAGGCACGGAGACACTGAGTTCTCCCAACCCGTCAGTGTCTGCCTCCCCAATCCAGGGTCGGCAACTTGCAGGCTGGGCTTCCTCAGGAAAGAAAATCAATGAGATCCAGCCCTGAGCATAGAACAGAGAGTCCAATGGTGCTGACTCCCTGGGGAGAACCAAGAAAATGGCCCACAGAGGCTAATCAGCCAGCCCAGGCCGAGGGGTGCGGAAATGGAACCCAGGGCAGCTGTTCATCTCAAGATGTCTTGCATCTCCGAGACTTCATCAGCATTTCTATTTCTTTTCATTCACTAGAGGCCCGGTGCACAAAATTCATGCATAGGAGGTCAGGGAGTCCCCTCAGCCCAGCCCGCACTCTCTCCAATCTGGGACACCTCTCTCACAATCCAGGACTGCTCACCTGTCTGCCTGCCTGATCGCCCCCACTGCCCCCCTGCCAGCCTGGTCGCCCCTAATTGCCCTCCTGCTGACCTGGTTGCCCTTTACTGTGCCCCTGCCAGCCTGGTCTCCCCCAACTACCTCCTGCCAGCCTGGTCACCCCCAACTGCCCCCCCTGCCAGCCTGGTTGCCCCACTCAGCTGTTGTTCAGTCTTTTGGTCATCCCTCACTAACCCCCCTGCTGGCTTTGTCACCCCATGCAGCCTGCTGTTCGGTCTTTACTGCTACTGTGACAGCATCCTAGACAATTTGCATATTCCTCTATTATTAATATAGATAATTGCTTTTCTGTTAAGAACAATAAACACCCTCGGGGAACCTAGAGAGGGGTTGAGGGTTCCCCAGAGGACAGCGCGGAGGGCTGGGCACTGATCTAGCGGATTCTGGGAGTGAGGACACCAGGCCAACGGGAGGCAGGGCCACAGCAGAGGGGCAGCCCCTCCGTCCGTTCCCTCCAGGGAGCTGATGCGGCCCAGAGGGTCCCTGTGCGGCCCAGGCCTTCCGTCCCAGGGAAGGCCCCCACTCACTCTGCGGCAAGTCCTCGGCCCTGAAGACCTTCAGGCAGAAGTGCGCCCCGCGGAGGGCCACGCCGGTCGGCCTGAGCAGGTTGCCTTCGATGTCCTCCTTGTCTTCTGAGGGGTCCTTTCTCTCCAGCTGCAAAGCAAACCAAGTGTGATTCTGACTCAACAGCGTTCTCCCTTCCCCAACCAACACGGCCGAAAGGGCGCGCTCTGAAGAGAGGCAGGTCACACGGGCCGCTCCCCGGCGTGGACTCAGGCCGGTTCCCTCACCTGGGACTCCCTCTCCTCTGGGCAGTGGAGACAATGACAAGAAAAGAGACCAGGAAGAGAAGGTGGGAGCAGGTGGCAGAGGACACGGCACAGGGCCAAGCAGGGGGAGAGCAGGGAATGGCAGGGGACAGTGAGGATGGAGACAAGGGAAGATGGACGGAGCGGAGGGAGGGAGGGTCAGCAGCCAGGGCTCTCACACAGTGGGGCTCTCACACTGTGGGGCTCTCACACTGTGGGGCTCTGACCCTCTGAGGGAGCTGAGGGTGGAGCTCAGGAGAAAGAGAAGTTTAGAAGCAGCCGCTGTGGGGGATGAGTTAAGGAATAAACTGCACCGTGGCAGCACCCACGCCAACCAGCACCTCCAGGTGACTTCTGCCACCAACACTGACCACGGAGTGGAGTGGACAGTGTGTGGTAGGGACAGTGGAGGACAGAGGTATGTGGGAGATCCAGGAGCTAGTAAGCACATAGGATCATGGGGACAGGGGAGAATGTGGCAAGGGGGAGCTGATGGACTGGGAAACTGAAAGGGATGGGGGGGGGAGGGTTTTGTCACCCCAGTGAGGAAGAGCTGTCACTCAGAGGTAAGGAGGGAGAGAGGTGGAGAGAGACTGGTGGGAAGAGCTGTCACTCAAAGGTAAGGAGGGAGAGAGGTGAAAAGGGACTGGTGGGGAGAGCTGTCACTCAGCAGGGCGTACTGAAAAATTAGCATATTCCTCTCTTATTATATAGGATATTGAATCAGTATAACATATAACGTAAAACTAGCATGGCACATGTCAATTAGACATCAATAAAAGAAAATACTGAGAAGAAAATATGAATGTATATCCTTCTGAGAGGATTTGCAAAGAGATATTAATAACAGTTCTCTCTGAGTGATAGAATTGTGATTCATTTTTTACTTATACTTTCCCACATAGTCTATGTTTATCATGATTACTGTGTGTTCTTTTAAAAGAGAGAAACGGAAGTGGTTTGTGTTTTGGTCCTCCGCCCCCAGGCAGGGTGCCGTGGGGAGGACCAGGCACAGGGACTCACCGGCGCTTCGTTCCCAGGCCCCAGCACGCACAGGCTTGCTTTCAGGTAGCCTCTGGCCCCGGCAGAGAAATCATCCGGGTCTGAGAGCAGCAGCCACTTTCTGAGATGGGCATGTCCTTCAAGAGACAACGCCCATTGTGATCACAGAGCTGGGAGCACCGCGGTCTGCCCCCACATCAGGAGCCGAGGGCGGACTACCCGTGGATGAGGTGAGGGACCCGTCCATTGGACATGGGGCAGGACTCAAACTGTAACATAAAGGTGCTTGGAGGGTGCAGGTAGGTTTGAGACAGAAATGTTCATAGAAACGCCAAAGCCAGACTCGAGGCCTTTACCTCTGTCCCTCAGGAAAAGCAGAAACCTGGCTGTGGAGAAATCCTAGACTTGTCACCCAAAGGACCTGACCCATCCCTGTCCAAGGTGACCCCAGCCTCCAGCCGCCTTGGCTTGGGGCCATCCTAAGGAGCCTCCCTGGCTAACCCGCTGAGCCCCCTGAGGGCTGGATCTCCCTGGGGGCCTGGTCACCTGGGAGGTGGAAGCCTGCCCTCCCTCGCCTCCAGGGCCCAGCTCCACTCTACGTTCTAAACCCCCAGGAGGAAACTCAACGTCCCAAGTGGGTGTCCCCCAAGCGGCCTCCAGACCAGAGGCAAGGACATGGCCAAGGTGACGAGAAGGTGACTCACGGGGCTCTCTGTAGACGGCACCCACATCGATCTGAAATTACATGGAGAAAACACACATCAAACTCCTGCCCCTGGCGTGTTACAGAACGTGCGGTGCCCCAGGCCAGCCCATTAAAAACCGTACCCGGAACTCCCCGATGAGAGCATCAGTCCTGCGGGAGCGGGAGTCCACCACCTGGAGGGGAAGATAAATTAACTCTCATTTGCGAGTAAATGTTGCCCACCGCTCTTCCCCCCGAACTCCACTCCAGAGATTGTGCGAAGCCGTGTTTAACCCTGTGAGTAGGTGCTATGATTCCCCCATCTCACAGCTGAAGAAACAGAGGCAAAGAAAGGCAGATTACAGGACTTGCTCAGAATCACACAGCTCCTAAATGGCAGCGGTAAGGTGAGGATGCAGTTTGGCTCCACAGCCCACACTTTTCACCACTGAACTATATTGCCTTTTAGAGGAAAGGAGGAAAGAGCTTCCATGGCCCAGAGAAAGAAAATCTTGGCCAGAAACGGGCACCTGGACAAACAATCTCTATACCAAAGATCCAGGGTGTAACGACCGAGCATGACCAAAGGCTGGCCAACCGGAAGTCATCACTTGCCATGGTCGTCCTCTCAGGCAGAGGCAGTTAGGGGTGATAGGCAGGCAGGTGAGCAGTTAGGAGCCAGCAGGGCTAGATTGCAAGAGGGATGTTCGATCGGGCCTAAACCAGCAGTCGGACATCCCCCAAGGGGTCCCCAAGTTGGAGAGGGTGCAGGCTGGGCTGAGGGAACCACCTCCTCTGTGCACAAATATTGTGCACCAGGCCACTAGTGCTATATAATAAAAACCTAATATGCAAATCAACCAAACAGAGAAAGAACAGGTGGAACGACCAGACTGGTCGTTCCACCTGTTCTTTCTCTGTTTGGTTGATGCACACTGACCACCAGGGGGCAGACGCTCAATGCAGGAGCTGCCCCCAGCCTGCAAGCCCCAGGCCAGCCAAGGTGGATGCCAGCAGGAGTGGCAGTGAAGGGGGGGAGGAGTGCAGGGGCCAGCGAGTGAGCAGCATCAGGCTAGCCAAGGCAGTTGCCAGTGGGAGGGCCCCCTGTTTGCCCTGCCAGTCGCCCCACAGATCAGCCCTGATCACCGGCCAGGCCTAGAGACCCTACCCATGCATGAATTTTGTGCACCGGGCCTTTCGTATAAGATGAAAATCAATGTTCCCGCTACAAGAATGAGTTCAGCTCCCTGACCCAAGACACCTGAGGGTGCTGAGCAGCGGGCTCTCCCCTCTCAGCTGCGGCCTCCATCTGAACTGCAGGAGGCATTTCTGGGACCAGCAGCTTTGGGGTGAGCCCCTGCACAGCACTCATGCCCTGCGCTTCACGGCTTCTCTGTCACACACACACACACACACACACACACACACACACACACACACACACGGGTGACGGGCACGTGTGTGTGTACACAGCCCGCAGAGGGCGCTCCAATCACTCAGACGTACCGTGATGAAGATGGGCTCATCGAACAGCTCCGCTGGAGAGTCAAACACGTTGAAGAACAGAGTCTGTTGATTTGGGGCAAAAGGGAGACAAGTGAGTGCCTGCCGGGAGAGAGTCAACCGCCCACCACAGCCCTCAGGCTAGTCCACACGGAAATCGTGGAGTGCGTTCAGCCCGCACTGAGCTCTGGGACTTGACAAAGGTCATCATCTCAGGGATAGGGTGAGTGGCTGGCCCTACAGGATGACAGGGATGTGGAGCTGTGGGAGTCCAAGGCAAGAACAAGAGCTAAAACCATCTTTCCAGCTCCTTAAATAGTCTGTTCACACCGTGCCCATTCTCCACCCAAAGTCAGCGCCGTAGGTAAACACTGAGTGGGCGGCCGGGCGTCTGCTGTGTGCTCCCTACACAGAGGGCCCGCCAGGGTCCCAGCCCTGATCCCAGCGCCTCCCACCTCGTTAAAGACTGGGCTGTTTCCCTTGTGGATCCGCGTCCGCCGGGTCTGCCCAGCGGCAGTGACCTTGACCACGGGCTTGATGTTCACCCCTGGCAGCTGGCGCCCCTCGATGACCTGCACCCTGATCTGAAAGCCAAGAGGGGGCATGAGCAGGAGGAAAGCAGAAGTGGTTAGAAACACACACACATCCCACTCCCACCCCCAAAAAATATCGGAAATCTCAGGGACCATCCCAACTGCAGGTCTTGGGAAGGGAATTAAAGAGGAGAAATCCAGCAGGCATGGCTCAGTGGTTGAGCGTCAACCTATGAACCAGAAGGTCACGGTTCGATTCCTGGGTTACAGGCTCGATATCCAGGCAGCTGATCAATGATCCTCTCTCATCACTGATGTTTTTATCTCTCTCTTCCTCTCTGACATTAATAAAAATATGTATTTTTTTTTTAAAAGACTAGGAAAGCCTTGTAAAAACAATCCCCACCAAGGTCCTTTGCTCCTATAAAGCCCACGTTTCTACACAAGAGCTGCCAGGCTACCCAGGTAAGCTACGGGCATCAATTTCTAGCACCGGGTCAGGCTTCTCTCCCCTACAGCCGCTGGCACTGATGTTTTTAAGTGGCTTGAACATTCTGCAATGACAATTCCCTCAGAGACTGAACTCAAATAGTAAGGCTTCCCCCTCTCTGCTCTTTATAAGATGCAACATTCACATTCTGAGAAATAAGCGTTTCCTCCAATGACTAAAAGTAAATGAAGGTTTCAAAAATATGAAATTTTAAAATATTAAAACAATTTTCATGGGAAAAAATAATGTTGACTGTCTAAAAATAATGCTTAATGTCTAATTTCTAATCAGTAGTTATGTATTAACTTTTTTTTGAACTAGCATTCTATAGAAGAATATATTATTAATTGCAATGGAGAGATAGATGAGTGGTTTTAATTTTCTTCTTTTTGCTGTCTTTTCCAAATTTTTCTACAATACAAATATTAAACTTCTAAGGAGAAAAAAAAGGAAATAAGAACATGTCTTGGGAATAATAAAAATACGTTAGAATTTTGTTTTTCAGGCAAACATAGTGCTGATATCTGGCACATTTGCCTAAATTACCATGATTTAAAACTAAAGCATATTATTACAATTTGTTGCACTTACTAGCGATTTGTTTCCAATTTAAAAATATGTATATATTTTTATTGATTTCAAAGAGGAAGGGAGAGGGAGAGACAGTAACATCAGTGATGAGAGAGAATCACTGATCAGCTGCCTCCTGCACATCACCCACTGGGGATAAAGCCCACAACCCAGGCATGTGCCCTTGACCGGGAATCGAACCACGACCTCCCAGTTCATAGGTTGACGCTCAACCACTGAGCCAGGCTGACCAGGCTGTTTCCTATTTTTTAACTTTAAAAGTAGTTCTGAAGAGTTAAATATCGCTAAGTGCAACTATTATCAAAATGGAATGTTTCATAGAAAAGCAAACAGATAAAACAAAGGACCAAAATTAAAAGGCAAATAAAATGGAATTGATTTTTGGATAAAAAAAATATGTCAAAGGGTTAACAGTCTTACTATCTGAAGAGGTTAGACACATTCAGATTCCACAGACTCTCAGAAAAATCATGGCACAAAGAAAGGGCACAGATGTAGGGAGAGGAATCAAGCCAGACAGCTTCCTCGCTGAGGCTCACACTGCACGTCTAAGGACCACGCCTCCAGCAGCAGGAGCTAGCCAGGCAGCTACACCGGTTGGTAAACAGATAAGCTGAGTCTCTGCAGTGTTCTTCCCTCCCCCCTCACCCCAGCTTTTATTTATTCTTAAAATATTTTATTGATTTTTTTACAGAGAGGAAGAGAGAGGGATAGAGAGTTAGAAACATCCATGAGAGAGAATCATCGATCAGCTGCCTCCTGCACACCCCCTACTGAGGATGTGCCTGCAACCAAGGTACATGCCCTTGACCAGAATCGAACCTGGGACCCTTTGAGTCCACAGGCCAACGCTCTATCCACTGAGCCAAACCGGTTTCGGCCCGCTTTTACTTTTTTAAGAGCAAAACCAGGGCTGGGCAGAGGCTTATATTGAGGCCCCTGATTTCCCGGCATCACAGCCGTGGGCCCTAAAAGGAGGAGCCGGTGGCCACAGACGGCCCTCACCTGGAAGTCCTGGGGCTTGTCCGACAGCACCTTCCTGGGTGGGGGAGCGCCCCTCCTCCTCTTGTTGCCAGGGTGGTACGGGGGAGGGTGGGAAGCTGGCTTCTTGGGAGTGGAAGGAGCCCCCGGGCCCAGGGGGCCACTCTGGTCCAGGAAGGGCTCCGCCTCGTCCCCCGTGAGGCCCTGGTCCTCGGTGTCCTCCTCTCCTCCTGTGTCTGGGAGGAGAGGGTGCTTCTGAGTCCTGGTCCCCGGGGCCCTGCCCTGGGGACCCAGCCAAGGAAAGGGGGGGATCCACAGGGCATGGCACCAGCACTCACCACCCACCCCGGCCCCTCTCCTCCCCACTCGATGAGCCAGGATGGGTGAGGAAGGAAGAAGAGAAGCTTCCAGCAGCTGCATGTGGGGGGCAGTCAGTCCAGTTAGTCGACAGGAAGGAGAGAGGATGGCCCCCCTCCCCCTGTCCTGCAGGGTGAGCCCCTCGGCCACCGCTCTCGTGAGCTGAGACGGCAGCTGTGAAGATGGTTAGGGGTCACAGGGTGGAGTCAGGACAGCCCTGGCTGTGTCTCACCCGTGGGGGCCAGCCACTTCTTCCCCGAGTATCTCGTGTCCACAGTGCTGTCACTGAGCAGGGACCAAGTCTCTGCCCGGCTCTGTGCCCCACCTGGCATGCGGGCGGGCACAGCCCCAGGAGGGGAAGGGAGGGGAGGAAGGAGCAGCGGGTGAGGGAAGCCAGCCTAGCTCCCCTCTCCCACCCAACCTGCTCTCCCTGCCACCCGGGTCCCACAGGAAGCTCAGGAGCAGACGCCACGTCTGTGGAGGACTGTCCCTCTGACCACCTTCCCGCCGGGACCAGGCAGTGGGCACCTCCAGGAGCCTCCCCTGCACAGCATGAACCTAACTCTGACAGAGCCCCCTCAAATTTAACCAGCACATCCGGGGCCCTGCAGCTCCTCACCCTCGTCCCCAGGAGCGCCCCTCCTCCCTCCCTCAACCTGCACCCCAGCCGGAGGATCTCCCATCGACAAGCCTCAACGAGGAGAGGGCCCCTCTCCAGGAGCCCATGCAGGGCTGGGCTCCGGGACCAGCCTGGGACACACGGAGGCAGGGAGGGGCTCTAGCTCCGGCTGTGCTGCGCCCGCCCCCAGGTCTCTTCACCAGGAGAGAAGCTGTAGACTCTTTTCCCACCTGCCCACCCAGCAGCCCGAGCCACCCAGGCCCCTCACTGGTAAGCCAGCCCCCCGGGCTGGGGCCTCCCTTGACCAGCCCCGCAGAGGCACGTGGAGCGAGCTGGAGCAACCGTGGGACTCAGTGTCTGCTCTTCTCACAAATGATCAATCATAGGCCCAGAGAGGGAGAGTGGCCAGCCCAGCGCCACACAGCTTCCCTTCAAAGGAAAGACTGTAAGTCGAGTCCCCGGACTTCAACCAGAGCTCTTTCAAGGAAATGCCAGCCCTTTGGTCACATGTCACCACCCAAAGCCTGCTGGGTCCAGGGCGGGGAAGCACTGGGCTCTGGGGAGCGGGTGGGGCCTCAGGCATCACCTGGGAAAAGGCCCCGTCCCACAGGCACGTCCTCTACTCTACAGGCTGAGCACCCAGTGCTGAGCACACAGTGCTGAGCACCCACCCAGGCCCAGCTCCCTCCTGGAGCTGGAGAGCGAGGGCGCCCTCACACTAATCCCAATGGCACCTGGGAGCATGCCTCCCGCGTGACACGGGCAGTTCTCAGGAACACCCCCCACACTCCCCAGACACACACACACACACACACACACACACACCAGTGTCCTCCCCACCCCACCCCCCACCAGGCTGCACAGGCTGCAGAGCCTCACTGCGGCCCCGCCCCCACGCCCCGGAGCCTGGCGGGGCTCCTTCCCTGGCCTCCCAAGGTGAGGGGCCTCCTCACCAGCCAGCATATCCCGGTCAGGCAGAGTCGGGGAGGGGTCCAGAGGAGTGGTGGGTGGGTAGAGAGGCACAGCTCCAGGAGTCGGCGTGTAGGACACCTGCAGGACCAGCGAGGCCTGAAAGAGAGGGGGGAGGGGCAGCAGGTGGGTACACGGGCCTCAGACCGCTGCCCTCCACCATCCTTCCTGACCCTTAGACGGCTCTGACGAGGGTCAGGTGTGCAGGAGGCTGTGGCAAAGCCACCCCTCGGGGCCCCTCAGCGTAAGAGCACAGAAGCTGAAGTCAGGGTCCACCACCCAGGAGCCGTAGCCTCTCTGTGCCTCAGTTTCCTCCTCTGTAAAACCGGGTAGTAATAGCAATAGCACCTTCCCCAGGGGTCCAGTGAGGACTAGATGAGTGGACAGAGCACATCATAGGCTTCTCTACATGAATCAGCAGCCCAGCCACTCCTAAGAATGTTTCAGCTCTCAGCCCAGGCCTGACCTCTCTGCTCAGCCGAGCGCCCTCCCCTTGTCTCCACAGACAGTCATGCTGTTCTGCTCGGCCCCAACTCGGAGACAGGCTTGCTGAGCCCCTTTCACTCCCAAAGGCACTGCTGTCCCCACCTCACCTCCCGCAGCTCCAGCTTTGAGCAGCCAAGGGGAGAGTGACTGGTCACATCGCTCGAATGGACAGGGGAGCTGCCTGTGTCCCGCCCACCTCGCCCACCCTGAGCGCTGCTCAAAGGGCCTGCCCTGGAGAAAAGGCACGGGCACCGCAAGCTCTCGGGCCCTGCAGCTCCCTGGCCAGTGGGGGCCGGGCCAAGCCTTCCCCGGAATCCCAGGTCCAGCAGCCCTGCTGGAGTAGCCCTTTTTTTTTTTTTTTAATATATTTTATTGATTTTTTACAGAGAGGAAGGGAGAGGGATAGAGAGTTAGAAACATCCATGAGAGAAAATCATCGATCAGCTGCCTCCTGCACACCTCCCACTGGAGATGTGCCCGCAACCCAAGTACATGCCCTTGACCGGAATCGAACCCGGGACCCTTCAGTCCGCAGGCTGACGCTCTATCCACTGAGCCAAACCGGTTTCGGCTGGAGAAGCCTTTTTTACCAATCAAAGTAGTACGTGCTCTATTTAACAAAGGCAAAGGAAAACCAATTGCTGTAATTCTTCCACTTATTTGCATTTCGATATCATTATCTCTCATAGTTTGTAAGCAGTGGACAGCTCTGTTATATATGAAATGCTTTCCTTTTACTTAGACAGTAAGCATGTCCCCAGGTTTTGACAAACTCTTTTTTTTTTAAATATATTTTTATTGATTTCAGAGAAGAAGAGAGAGGGAGAGAGAGATAGAAACATCGATGATGAGAGAGAAATCATTGATCAGATGCCTCCTGCACATCCCCCACCAACCCAGGCATGTGCCTTTGGCCAGAATCAAACCTGGGGCCCTTCAGTCTGAAGGCTGACGCTCTATCCACTGAGCTAAACCGCCCAGGGCGACAAACTCTTTATATATGTAATTGTTAAAGATGCATAATATCGTCTGAGCAGCTCTAGTATAATTCTCTAGGCATCTCTCTCAACTGAGTAATAGTAGGGATTTCCAGAAGGTTCTGGAGCAAAAGCTGATTCTGAGACAGAAGATGCTCCAGGACCTGGATGTAATCCAGTTCTGGGGCTTGAACCCTCAGACTGAGGCCTGAGCAGGGGCCGCCAGGCTAAGCAAAGGCAGGACTGGTGGGACGGCGGGTCTCCGAACCCTGAGGAAGGAGCCATGTCAGCTCCACATCCCAGGAGACCCTGCAGGAGTCCAGCCTGGGAAGGCAATGCGACCCTTTACTACTAAATATCAGGATCCGGGGCATTGCTAACCGCCGCTGCAGATTCGTAAACCACCACAAGGTGTCACCACGTGCGCAGCCAGCGTGCCCCGCACTCACATCCCAGGAGCCTGCAACCCAAAGAAGGGAAAAAAGAGCAGCCTGTGAGGGGCCCGGCCCCGCCCCAAATACCCAGACCCGCCCATGCCCAGCCTGACTCCTGGAGACTCCAATCCAGGCTGGGGTGGACCTGGACATCCCTATTTTCCTCCACTTCATCAAAAGGCAATTATCTGTGCTCTCTGGAGAAATAACGGCTTGCAGGGTGAGGCCAGGATTGGTATAATAGAAGACAACCCTGAACCAAAAACCAAGGAAATAACCAAAAAATGATGGAAACCTGTCAAAAGGACAAAGAGTCGGTGGCTGCCATTGGCCAATTTAAACATGAAAGAAAAAAAAAAAAAGATAATTACATTAAGCCATTGAATAAAAGAAAAATGCATGGCTCCAAACGGAAATAAATAAGTAAATAAAACAGGAAGGAAGTTTTTTGTATTTTTTTTACCGTGAAATGCCAACTGATTCACACACACAAAAATAACTGGTTTAGAATACCACCACTTAACACAACAGCCCTGGCCAGTGTGGTTCACTTGGCTGGAGCGTCATCCCTTCACCGAAGGGTGGAGGGTTCTCGGTGCCTCCCAGGACAGTGCAGCCCCGGTCCCGGGAGGGAAGCCCCTGCCTGGGGCTGCCCCGGGGCTTAGTGCTGCCACAGGCAGTAGAAGACAAGAGGGAGCCCCCTCTCTCCCAGGCTGTGCTCAGCTGGGGGCTCACCCAAGCGGGGCCCAGCCCTCCTCTCCCACCCATCACCCTGGCTCTCACACCCCCTTCGTGGAGACATGGTCTGTGAAGGACTGACAGGCTCTGCAGCCAACCAGGGACCCCAGCCCAGGGAAGAGAAGGCAGCAGGGAAGAGAAGTGCAGACAGGCCACGGGAACCCAGAGTGAGGGGAGGAGGAGCGAGGCCTGGGATGCCGCTAGCCTGGCCCAGCCCATGGACAGGGACCAAGTGTGCAAAGCTCTGTCTCAGGGGTGGGTGCGCCTTTGGGCTCAGAGTGCAGCCGTGCGGCGCTTGCAGGAACACCGTGTCCGGGTGCACACAGGGCTACGGGGAGAAACATCTGAGCCGTTCAGCTGGGAAGTGAGAAAGGCCGGTTGGAGGCACTGGGGGCCGGACACAGAGCAAAGGAGGAGCCCCGTCCCTGACTCCGAAGAGCTCTCCGCAGCCGGGGGTGCCTGCCCCCATTTCTCCACCGGGGCTCGCACCTGCACAGCCTCTCCGGGACCCCCGAAGGGGCGGGGCGTTCGGATGTGCCCAGAGTCCTTCTGGACGGCAGTGATATTGTGAGCGATAACCAGAAATACATATTTGGTCTTAGCACCCTGTTTCTGGCACACTGCTCCCAAGGCCCTCGGAATTTCCTGAGTGGTAAGCAGGGTAAAGGTATATTAACGAGGTGACCAGGAAAGTACTGGCTGGCGACCATGTGATTAGGGGGTTGGAACTTTCAGCCCCATGTTCCCCCCACTTCCCCAGCCACCCCATCCTCCGGGGAGGAAAGAGGGGCCAGAGACTGAGTTTAATCGCCGGTGACCAGTGATTTAATCACTCCCGCCTGTGTGATGGAGCCTCCATAAAACCCGGAGAGCAGGAATCGAAGCCCTCTGGCGGGTGAACACACCATGGGGCTGGGCAGAGCGGTGGGCGGAGAGGCCCCACGCTCCTCGCCCTCCCCACCCGCCTCGCTGCTTCTCCATCGGCTGTTCCTAAGCTCCGTCCTTTACAATCACCCAGGGACCCAGGAGGTAATGGTCCTCTGGGCTTTGTGAGGCCTCTGGGAAATTCATTGAACCCCAAGCACAGGGTCACTGAAACTTGGAATCTGTAGCCGGTTGGTGACAACTGGACTTGTGATTGGCATGGGGGGTGGGGGTGGGGTCGTCTTGTGAGACTGAGCCCGTGACCTGGATAACTGAGTCTAAGTCCCCGGAGAGTCTGGGAGATGCACCTCGGAAGCACGTGCCCACTTGGGCATC